AGCCGGCGACATTATTGCTGATGCTGTCGTTCATATAAAGAACGGGCGTATTGTGGAAGTATCGACTGGCGATGTAGCAACTCCCCCCGATGCAGTGAATCTAAACGGACAGTATATCTGCCCCGGCTTAATCGACTGCCATGTGCACATTACGGCAACTCCAGGTTCTCCGTCTCTCAAGGATATGTTTTCTGCAAGTCCAAATACCATCGCCTATCGATCCACGTTTGTTGCACGCGAGATGCTTCTCCGAGGATTCACCACGGTCCGCGATACCGGTGGTGCCGACTACTCCCTCCGCGAAGCCATCGAAGAAGGCTTGGTTGCAGGGCCACGGCTATTCATTGCTGGCAAAGCACTCTCGCAAACTGGGGGACACGGCGATTTGCGAGCCAATTATCAGGGGTCCGAGTATAAATGTTGTGGCGGTCACAGCCCAGCACTGGCACGGGTATGCAATGGTGTCCCCGAGTGCTTGGAGGCTGCCCGCGACGAGCTCAGACAAGGAGCCAATTTCTTGAAGATTATGTGCGGTGGTGGTGTAGCAACACCGTCGGATGCGCTTGATATGCTGCAGTTTACTGCCGAAGAGATTCGCGCAATCACAACGACGGCGAGGCAGTCCAAGACCTACGTCACGGCACATGCCTACACTGTGGAGGCTATTCGTCATGCTGTTGATAATGGTGTTCGAGGCATCGAGCATGGTAATTTCATCGACGAGGAAACTGCGGCGTATTGTGCAGAGTTGGGCGTTGTCTTCACTCCAACACTGGTTACCTATTATGGCATGTCCAAGCCACCCTTTGACAAGTTCCTGGATGATTTCAGCCAGGCAAAGAATCGACAAGTTCTGGATAGTGGTCTAGAAGCTTTGTCAATCTTGCACAAGGCAGGGGCAATGATATGCTATGGTTCCGACCTCTTGGCTGGCCTGCATCCTCTACAGAACCAAGAGTTCTCGATTAGGTCCAGCGTTCTAAGTGCGAAGGACATTCTGAAATCTGCAACTGTGAATGCAGCGCGGTATCTGGGGATGGAAGGCCAACTCGGGTGCATTAAAGAGGGAAGTATTGCGGACATGCTAATCCTGACATCTAATCCTTTGGAAGACATTACCATCCTTGATCGCATACAGCATCATCTAGTGGCTATTCTCAAGGATGGGCGTATTGTTTCCAAGAACGCAGACTGGCTGTCAGTTGATCCTCTGTACAATACCAGCCGTAGTTAGAACCGGTGAACAAACCTTGCTTCACATCGAATGGCGACTTGTGATCGCCCGAAACCATACAATGGAGCTTCATATGATAACTCCATTGCCCTTCCGGGCTATTACTTTGCATGCGACATGAGGCCTAAGCGCAAAGGGAAGCTAATTCACACCAAAGCATTTCTCTGGGGTGCCGAAAAGGCTGCTTATTCAATATTATATCATCTATGCAGCAAACCGTATTTTTCCGGAAATAACGCTTATTTTCTTTGCGCTTTTACCGTTTCGAAGTTTCGTGGATATAGTCTGCATAGATGCCCCGTTCGATGATGGACTTGGCGGTTGAACTAATTCTGAATATCGCAAACCGTTTGTAGTCCTCTTGTAACTTTTACAGTCACGACAGTCATTTTTGGATAGAGATAAGTTATAATGGTTTCAGATTGAAATCTATAGTTAAAGTGCAACAGGCTTTCCACCCTCCTTCACTCTTCTGTAACCCTCAAGACATACTTCACACCACTAGCCTTCCCGGCCTTCAAGTCATTCAGAGCGGTTTCTACACCCTCCAGACCACCTGGCGTTACCTCATGGGGATGAGGCTTGAGCCAACCCTCACTGAGGCCCCTGCTAATCATTCGCGACCACACATAAGCGAAATCCTTGTCATCCGCGTGGCTACTTCCAACGTTGCTGAACTCAACCCGTATCGTGCTGAATAAATGTTCAGGTGCCTCCGGCGTTACGAGTGACACTGCGCCCGATGTCTGGTCCAGAACCTTCTCAACCACCTGGAAGCTCGATGCCTCGCTGACCGCGTCTAGTGCATATTGAAGACTTTCACCAGCGGGGATGGCATCTCGGATCCCCTGTACGATCGCAGATTCGCCGTCCCGGTAGTCAATGACGACATCACCCTTTTCACTGTTCATTAAACTCCGAGCATAATCTATACCCCTTCCAGCGACGCCGATAATAGGATGGATGTCCGCTTTCTGTAGCAGTTTTATTGCAAATGATCCGACAGCTGTCGCAGCACCGTAGACATGAACTCCTCCTGCAGGCTTGGTAGCCCAAGATTTGTTTCCTAGCCATGGTTCAGGTAGGCCCAAGCGCGCAAACAGTGCGATCGAGGCGGTCAATGCTGCCAAAGGCACCGTAGCTGCTGCTTCGAAGGAAATATGGGGTGGGATGTGAAATGTGGCGTGCACTTTCCCAATGGCGTATTCTGCGAAGCTCCCATGCGGTGTCATATAATCGTGGAAGGCAGCCACTCGGTCTCCGACTCTGAACTCGGAGACGTTTTTGCCAACCTTGTGTACATAGCCAGCGATATCGTCGCCTGTGTTTTTCCCGTCAAATGCGTCCATCCAGTCAGGGAATTTCCAGTCCTTGGGGTTTGTGCCGCTAACGACGACTTTGATCAGAATCTCGTCCGGTCCGGGTTTGGGAATAGGCACGGTGTGAATCTTAACCTCCATGGGCCCATTCTTGCGAAAGACAAGTGCTTCCTTCATTTTAATAGTTGCTAGTAGCAGAATTGAACGGTGGGATGTACGAACGAGGTGATAGAGAAAATAGAAATTGGAAAAGTTAGGGATTAGTGTGGGGTTTTCATTGGGATATCACCCAATTTATATATCTTTGATCTACAGCTAAACCAGAACTGCCGCTGTGATATTTGCAATCAAAAAGGCTCCTGATGTATGCTTGGTCATTATTTCCATCATTTTAACTCAAAATTGAATTCTTTCGAATTATTTTGAGCGGAAATGGGCCATGTTGTCGAATGATAATGGAGAAAAAGGCAGGCGATTCTTCCGACTGAGCTGCCGAGATCCACAGACCCACACCCCACGCTAACCATAAGAAGAAGCATTCGGTGCCAAGACTTGCTAATCCTGGGGATTCGCAAATCTCAACCGCCTCACAACCACATGACCCGCGTCTCGGCTTCTCTGCTTGGTTGTGTCACTCCCGCCATGCTAGCTCCTCCGCCTTCCGTCGTACTGCAGTAGATGCAAAATGAAAGTAAAGAGCCGCTCAGTATGTCAAAACTGTCGGCAAAGGAAATATTCGGTGAGTCGTCGACGCCGACCCTGTCGAAGCTCTTCTACTACTCAAATCAGAAATTATGCGACAAGGATTCGCTAATGTGTAATCCTTAGTGCGACGGAAAACGTCCTTCCTGTTCTCAATGCATAGCAACGAAGAGAGAGTGCCCGGGATATGAAGAGGTGGCTTTTCTTCCACCCAAGACTTCTGGGCAACAGATCATCTCTTCTGGGCCACTGGAAAACCCTATATCACGTGAGGCGTCGCTATCACTTTCCGGGTCGTCCACCAGGTGTCTCAGACTAAATCTTTCGACTTTTCGATGGTCGACAGATGAAGAGTTCTTCGCTTTAGTGACGGAGTATTTTACTCCCGACTATAATGGTCAGGAGCAATATGGCCGCCCCAAACAGCACTTCTCAACCCTGTGTAGCCCTTGGTTGGAGACCGTCCCTCTGCTTCTGGACACAAGCAGAAGTACAACCCTTTTGTCAGTGTCGCTACGCACTTTAGGCTACTCAATTATAGCCAAAGGAAATAGAGACCATAGACGCAGTCAATGGGACCTCTGTCGCGCCGAGTCATACACGAAAGCTGCCCATGCTTTGAGTAATAAAATCGCTGAAGATGACGGTGGCTGTAATGAATCCGCTGCTGCTATTATGTGCTTATGTCTAGCCGAGGCAGGCAAAACTTTCATTTTATTCAGCCAGAGTAAAATTGGCTATTGACACCTGCAAGTGGTTAGTACCTACATCCCGTGAGGGCTGGATCGCTCATATCAGAGGGATTGGCCGGATGATGGAAATGTGTGGACCAGAGTCATTTACTGGACCGATCGCGCACCAGCTCTTTATCGGCTTTCGGCCCCTAGTTGTACGCATGACACATCCCTCCCAACTATCACGTGTTTTATCCATCAAGACTAATATACAAGTAGATACTGGAGGCGTGCATCTCCCGTCAAGACACGTTCCTTTCTTCGGTCGAGTGGCGGACAATACCTTTTGCATTTCATGAACCATCGCCATTGCAAACGCTATTGAGTCACGGTTCTATCCTACCATCTATCTTACGAAGAGTCCAGACTACAGATTCCCTCCCTCTCAAAGAGAGGGGACCCCTGTGTGAAGGAGTCCTTGCGGAATTGATAAATACTTTGCAGGAGCTTGACAAGTGGGAACGGTCTCTGCAAGCTACGATGAATGGCCCTCTGTGTTGGCCAATAACGTCATGCCCATCCTCGCCAAGGTCTAGTAGCGCGGTAGCGGGGTCTCTGTGGTTCTACAGCCTCCAAGTCGCCACAGCAATGACGCATTTGTGGGCCTTTCGTGCAGTGTGCTTCAGTCAGATAGCACACCTGTTGTCATCAAATCCAGCGCTTTTCACGGACGCAATACGTATCTGCCTGAAAGTATTTGGAATTGAGGATTGTCATCAGCAAACAGTTGCCTTTCATAGAATGGTTTGCCAAAGTATGCTATATTTCAAGCAGGGCACGTTGAGATTTTACGGTGCAGCTTCTGTCACGCTGCCGCTTAGAGTGACACAGATGGCCATATGCCTGCTTCATGCGGGAGTGTGATATTCGAATATCAAGCTGGGGTCATGGAATGCTTTTACCGGACGGGATGCGTATCATGGCGAACATTCCAGCTCAAAACGGGTTGCGCACCACTTTTGCGGAGGTGGCCTTGCTCCCATGGCGTGCCTGCAACTGGCACGAACCACCAGGAGGTTAGGTAAAGAAGTCAGAAATCTTTACACCAGTCCCATTGGGAAGCTGATGCCCTCCAAAACCATGTTGGAGCGGTGCTCCGACTTCAGTCATAATGACTAGAAAGGCCGACATCGGGAGAAATCCGTCAATGACAGGAAATGCTCACATCAGTGCGAGTCGCTAAAAGCGAAACCGTCAACTATTATGATGGCGACAGTGCCTACAGTCGAGTGGCGGAGGGGAGGAACGGGGCCTCCAGCAATAAAGAAGGTGGTAGCTCAGCCTCGCGATTTACCCGATTCGGGAGACCGGAGGTAAGCGGAATTATTGTCATGTGTCTCAAAGTCGTAATGATTAACATTAACGGCCCATTAGTCTTGGTCCTTTGGAATTGACTTATTATCGGTCACTAAACTAATGTCAGTACAATCACCTGGATTACCCAATGAGCTGTTGGCTCGAGGACGATCAAGACAGATGTGGAGTACTGTCCAAAGCTGATAGGTTGCCCGTATCAGGGGAGAAGGAACTACTACTAAGACTTTGGGGGCGGGGTTAAGAGCAGTCGGTCGATTCATGGCGGTAGACTGGTTGGTAGTTCGTGTCAAGGTACATAAGTGCCCTCTAGTCCGAGGTCTGGGAATTAACATCCCCCACCAGCACCGAGCCGTTTATTAGGCCCTCAACCGAAATCGTGTCCATTTGAGGGCAATCGCTGAATGCAGAGCTTAACTGACCCAACATTATCCATCGTACCAGGCATTTTGAACAATGGAATCCCGTGAAAGCGCCCGTGAGCTCGTTAGGAGCATTGCTAGGGGCCGTGGTTATCTGAGTGAGGAAATACTGGAACGGATGGACCAGGATACCCGTCGAGAGGTCGAGGAAGCCATGCTGAAAAAAGACGAGAAGATAGGGTCTTCTGTATTGACGTATGAATTTTGAATCCTTACCCCCAGCACTCTCATAATGGAAGGAAATTGCTGATCTGACTGGCATCAAAGATTAGCCAAAGATGTTTATAATAGCAGTGCTCGGTTTGTGTTCGAGCTGTTACAGAATGCCGATGATAACAGTTACTCTAAGGCCAAATCCCGTTCGGAAGCACCCTATGTTTCATTTCGCGTCTACCCGCGACAAATTGTTTTTGAATGTAATGAGGATGGCTTCACGCCAGAGGATCTGATCGCCATCTGCAATATCGGAAAGAGTTCAAAGACTAGTGTCCAAGGATATATTGGAGAAAAAGACATTGGGTTTAAGTCGGTATTCATGGTCGCGTGGAAAGTTCTCATCCAGTCGGGAGAACTTTCATTCTACTTACAGCACAGGATTGGCGACTCGGGGATGGGCATGATTTCACCCATCTGGCAGGAAAGAGAAGAGGAGGTGCCAAATGACATAACTCGAATTACCCTGTTCTTGCACGAGACAGGCCCAGAAGAAATCCTTGCCAAACAACGCGAGACGACCCGCTAGCAGTTCCAAGAGCTTCAGGCGACCTTTCTTCTGTTTATGAAAAACATTGAAAAAATCGACGTTGCCTTCTATGATGATGAAAGTAAGGAAACGTGTAGTATGCTCTACTCACTGGAATACCTGTGCAAGTCTCGGGGTAAACTCGTGGACGAAAAAAGGGAGAACGGTCATATTCACGTGGATACTCGACACTACCATATCACCAAAATCACGTTGGACAAACTTCCCGTAAGCGAGAACAGAAAGTGCCCAGAGGCTTCTACAAAGTCAGAGGTCGTTCTCGCATTCCCAATGACTGCAACCTCCATTCCTATCATTGAAGCACAGCTACTTTATGCCTTTCTCCCGATAAGAAATATGGGGCTTCCAGTGAGACACTACGGCTAAGCATTAAAGGGTATCACTAATTTGTCTCAGTTTTTGATTCATGCAGATTTTGATACCGACGCCGGCAGACAGGACATACCTCTGTCTTCAACCAGGAATACCACTTTACTCAGTTATGTAGGCCTGGTGCTTGCTACAGCAGTGCAGGAATTTTGCCAACACCCAACCTTACAGTATCAATGGATGAGATACCCCCCAAGACGCGATGAGCTCTCCCGTGGTTCTTTTTCGCAAGAACTGAGTGCCCATATCCATGCTCACCTAAATATGTCTGATGTTCTTTGGACAAGAACTCATAGCGAACTGCACCCTATCATACGTACGCGAAGACTACCTTCTAGTATGCTCGATAGCAATGGAGATCCTCTGTTGCGAGACTTGAAGCCTGAACAGTATCTCTCCCCTAAGTATCGTCCAAGAGACTTGAATTTGTTGACGGGGTACGGTCTTGTTTATATGAGCAATTATGGGTTCCTGGAAAGGGTTCGCCAGGATCTTAGCCGCGACGACTCACTGATAAGATCATTCAGTGTCAAAGATGATGATTGGCATTCGCGTGTGGCTAGGGTCCTGATGTCAGCCTACCAGGAGAGGCCCAAATCGGTGTCTGCGCTTGCTATTACCCCCCTGACTAACGGCGAATGGAGATCTTCAACTTCCATAAAGGCCTATCGCATCTACCATCCTCACTGTAACGGTTACCTCATCCCCGAAGTGAACATGCGTTTGGTAGACTCGCGAGCTGAGAAGAACCCCGACCGAGAAAGACTATTCAGTCAACTTGGTGTTAAAAATCCGAAGGTATCTCGGGTTCGAGATGCTATCATCCGTACCAATTACAACAAAACAGTTGACCTCGACGATTCTCGAGCACAGCTGGAATTTCTCTACCTTACGGCCCATCTTGACCGCCGAAATGATTCTGCGCATTTCTACAGCGACATAGATCTCATAGACCAGCAGAACAGATACCGGGAGCCGGATTCACATACCTTTTACTTTCCTGGAAAGGACTTGTACAGTGCCGAGCAATTACTCACGCCGACGAAACCTGCCGGGACCGGGAAGAGTTCAAGGCCCAGCGTTTACATCCTACATAGTCGCTATATGGAACCCCGCCCTATAAAGCCAATTGGGGAACGCCGGACATGGATGACGTGGTTGTCAGAGTCACTGCAGGTCCGCAACACTATTCCAATTACAGATTCAACCCGGTTGAGCCCAGAGTGTACCTTCATAGCCGAGCATCATCCTGAGAAACTTGTAGGGTTCTTGGTCAAAAACTGGAAATTCGATGCTGCTCTCCTGGAAAAGCAGAAGCTGGTTGATAAGTTGTTAGAACTTCAAGTTGTCTGTGAGAGTGGATCGAGCTATTGTCTGGGCGAGACATATGTCCCGGTTCCTGAGCTTTCATACCTCAGACAATTTCTTCGGGATGAAGATGATTTCCCATGGCTTAAAATCGACAATACCTGGCTTTCTGAACTGAACGATATGGCTAAAGCATTGGGTTTCGGCTTTCCAAAATCCGAGTTGGAAGCCTACCTGCGAGCTCTACAGTCTATCAAGGAATCTAGTGATGGTAATGATGCAACACTCAATGAGACCGAGCGTGTCTACGATCTGTATGCACGCATCCAGGCTCAGTACAGTGAGACCTCAACACCAGACTATTGTCGTTCATTGCTTCGGTATAGTATAAATGCATTCGAGGGGTTTTCGATATGTTGATTGTCTACTTAGGACTGCTTTCGCTTCTCAAAACCTCATTTATGTACCAAACATACATGACGAGGCAGAAAGGCCGTGTTGGGAGTCCTCAGGCAATTGCTTGTGGGAAGCGCCCCAATCCATGGAATGCAAGATCCCATTAAAATGGAAGTACAACGACGTGAAGCATGGAAGTTGTCTTGCCAAGCTCTTCAACAAAACGCTAGGTATACCAAACGTTGGGTTGAATGACTTACTGAAAGAGCTGAACTCTTTATCTGCAAAGGGCTGCGACAATGTCGACAGAATCCTAATCCTGTACAGAGAAATAGATAAGTGCCGCCCGAAGATGAATAAGGAGACTACAGAAAAAGTCCGGTAAGTCTTCTATATCGCCGCTCGATGACAGTGAAACTTACATCTTCTAGGCGGAACTTCGAAATGAGGAAACTTATTTATAGTAACGGGAAAGCCACGGGTGAATGGCATAGCCCATCGCAATGTTTGTGGTCGACTGTCACCAATACCAGAGGGATCGTAACGCTCAAGGACCTGTACAAAGACCTGCAAGACTTCTTTGTCGAGCTACTAGGTGTTCCAACATTGACAGCGGAAATGGTGTACAGCAAGCTCCTTGAGCAGGGACGCGGGATGACACCTATCAACGAGGTCAAAGATATCATCTGGCTTCTGAATTCGTACCTACAGAGTGAAGAAGATCCACCTAGTTCAACTAGCCTACTCGAAAGTAGAGTGTTCCCAGTGAGGTATCCCAACGGTGTCGTAGAGCTGCGCAGCTCTACAGTTGACTTCACCATCTCTGACCGAAAACATCTGTCACAATATTTCTTCGACAAAGTCCTGTTCCTTGATTTCAGTACTGAAGAGGTATTGCAGCTAGAGCCTTTCATCGAATGGGCTAAAATTGAGACACGCTATATCTCGTCCTGCGTGAAGGAGATTTCCTGCTATACGGGCGACTCTTACAGGTCGCCAACGTCTCCAGATCGAAAGTTATCTCAGAAGGCTTACGGGCTACTGCGGTGAGCTCCATCGATAAAATTGCAAGAACGTGCAAACCCATTAACTTCAATACCAGAATTGCCGTACATTACAAGAGCCCACGACTAGTGGACGGAGGGCGGGCGTTTTACGACATACTGAAGAACATCGATGTTCGCGAAACGGATGGAATCACCTGTGAACTACATCTACAGCAGGATGGGAAGGAAATCAAAGCCAAAGTCTCGGAGGGCGAGATACATATCGAAGAAATAACGGATGGGCTGCACATCTATGTGCCGCGGGATCCGAAAGCCCAGTACATCTGCTTCCTGGACAGAATACACAAAGATCTCTTGGAGTGGATTCTGACGGAGCCGTCTACGGCAATATTTAAACCGTACAGCGAGAAGGCACTAACTCTAATGTACAGACGCCGGTGGAGCTTGTTTCTGTTATCCTAGATAGGGCTGGTATAGTCTCCATTGAGACACCGGAGGACTTGTCCGGTGTCGATGTTGACGCTTCCAATCCTACGGACCAGACCTCTGTTGAGAACAGCCATGCTATACGAGGGTCAAGTTCCCGCAGCAACAGCATATCAGCCTCCGATACAAATGATACAATTGCGAATGAGCTATCTGATGATGGACATGGGGCCCAAGACCTGGGTGAGCAATAATTCAAAGAATCACGCACCTACCCGCTTCAGATGGACCCTGTCGTTGCCGACTTCGACCTCCAGAAACGGAGTAGGTCTGGCACATTGCATGCAGACACCGCAAACTTCGATTTCCTTGACTCGTCGTGAACGCCGCCAGGGGAAATACATTCCCAAGTCAGGGTCCATTTAACAGGGAATCCCTCAGTCGAGCACTGACTGTTCGGCTGGTTGACGACGATAACCTTGTCTGTTTTCGCACCTTCCACATTGCGAACGAGACATTGAAATCGCCGCGACAGGAGAGCTATTTGTAAATGGCTATATAGACCTCGAAAAATCGTCTCGCCTAGATTTAGACCTTGCCGCTTTCACTAATGAAGCTCCATATGATAAATATCAGCAGCGGCCAAACGTTTGCGAAGATAAACTCTTTCGTAGTAAAGACATTCTCATTGTATTCTCTACTTTCATTGCATGACAATCCTATCGTTTTGCTTACGCCTTTATTTCAAATATCATCCACACCGTCGCCTCCACGAATCCATTTGTCGGCTATGCTACCTTTGAGATGGACAACCCAGGCTTAAGACCCCAATAGCTCACGACTAGGTATACACCGTCGACTCCCTGTCTGAAAATTGATTATATTACCATTCCCAACCCTCTGTGTTCCCATTGAAACTTGAATATGAGTACCGAAAGTCTTGAGTATCAGGAATTTTAGCAAGTCCAGAACTAGAATAACGGAGTTCAGTCCAGGCCTGGGGTGTGATTAATTTGATTGCCTGGAACCAATTGATGAAGAAGCTAAGATGGAACTCGTTAGCTCGGATGGCAGCAGTACAAATCAGCAAGTATTCAACTTACACAGTCGACGAGTTCGCGTCCCAGACCAGATCACCACAGCGATGATGTAAGGGAATCCAGCCCCAGCGAGTCATTTTTCTGAAAAGGGGGAGGACGGCTCAGCAACAGCTATAGCAATTGGTTTTGGACAGACCACTTACATGAAGCTCTCCTTGAACGAAACGCGAATTTGTTCACGCACAAATGGCTCCATTGACCAGAAAGTCTCATTACCAACCGCATTTCCTAGCCGCACTCCCGAGACCTCTGTGACAATCCATACCACAAAACCCCCCGGCACAAAGCTATAAATATCTTGCTTCTGTTCCATTGAGTCCAGCAGCCTTGGTGTAAAGGTTGAGCCCTTGTCCATGAGCTGGCGGTATGCATCAAGTTCAGGGGGAATAACGGTTTTAGCTTGCTGTGCCCGGACTTCGGGCCGGTCAGCTACAGTCTCCTCCGTAGGAATTTGCTTGTAGATCCTCATGTATCCATTTACTGGCGGAATGATCCTAGAGCCCACTTGTTGTACCTTGAGCTGGATGCAAGCGTACGATGGCCCACTCCACCGAGGATCGTCTTGTTCGCTGCCCTGAAACGCATGCTCCTCCTTCTGGCGCAGAACGCGCCATCGCTTTTCGAGTTCAATGACGACGCCTGGGCGGACTTCTTCCTGTCCAAACCAGCGAGGTGACATGATGGGCTTCACATTAAGGGACTTCTCTTAAGAATAAAAAAGAGGGGATGGTAGAGGTATATTCACCGTTGTGATAATAACAGGCGGGGCCTTAGAGTTTATAGTCGTCATTATTACATTATATGTTGCCGCTTAAATGCCGATGTAGAACAATGCTTCTTTGAGGATAGGTCAAGCTTCACTACCAACAATTAACAAGTATTGATTGACTGTCTGGTTATGCTGGCAGGTGAATGGTCCTTCCTTGTATGTGCTGCGAAAACCAGCCTGCAATTCCGGGTCCGTCATGTATGCCGCAAGGTGACCATACTACTGTTAGCTGCAATCTACCTGTATTGACATATGAATAGTAACCACTCACCTCAATTATGTAAAGGTATATCGTCTCTTAACAGAGATTACAATATAGTTATCGGTTGATGTTGAGGCAGTCATCCATGTAGGCTTGGTCAGGTGGTTAATGCTCGAGCCGCCATAACAAGCACCTCATGGTGTTCGTGACCTTTTACCTTCTAAGGTAGGCAGCAGGATGTGGCATGAGCAGCGGCCGGTGTGGACGAGGCCTGGTTGGTGTGGCGGTAGCGCCTCCCTTTTTATCAGGTCTGTCCTGAAAACGGATGCCCTGGAGTAGACTATTGCGCCCATAAAAAGAGTTGCATTCTTAACCTTCATACTGCAAAGCTAGTCCCCAATATTCTAATTCTGTACAGCGTTGCCTGATGACTTTCTACCACAGAACTACCTGCAGGTTTTGTCATGGACATGGTATGGCGAGTTACGGACCATGGTCAACACCATGGTTTGTCACATCTTAGCGTTTTGTACATAGACTGATCTCGAGTGGCTTAGAGAATCACCTGCAGATCGAGGCAACTAGTCAAGCCCCGTTATGCTACTACTACTTATCCTATCATCTTTCTCAACGGAAACGCCATTTCGAACAGTTATACACGTGTATCGCAAAGCCCCTTGACTTTTACTCTACGAAGGCATCCGCGTACAATAGGTCGAATTTGGCTGTCATCATGTATCAATCAAGTCTTCAATATTGAATTGAGAAGATAGTCGTGCTCTAATGAAAAGAGATATATTCAATGAGAATACATGGAGATGAAGTGAATACATTCTGAGTGAAGCTATCCATTGGAATGAATAGTTATATATGAATAGCACTGTCTATGTAAAAGCACGGGCAAATGGTTCTTCTTCTTGCAGACTTTTGATCATTTCTTTTGTTCCAATAGCTTCTGTGCCTCGTGCTTCCGTCAGCTAAGTTTCTCGAACTCAGAACTGAAACGTAGATTTCCTCAGTCGAAGAAAATCGAGACGATGACCAATAACATACTGCCACGCGGCCATCTTGAGCGAATTTGGGCGCCTGTACCTCACCTACGCAACGAAGAGAAGTGCTGCACGTTGAAACCCGACGGTTCACAATTCAGACTCCACAGAGATCAACTCCTGGATTGGGAGAACTTCACCCAAGAGATAAAGGTTCTGTCTAATCCCTACTGTGGGAACCATTATCCCTTTATGCCCGCTGTACCAAACGAGACCTTTGGTGTAGCAAATGATCTAGAGGTGCAGGGTCATTTCGTCCAAAGCGCCCTACACCCCGTGGGTGAAGCCTTGAATTACCTGAATTTGGGTATGTTCTTTGGTGACTCACAGTGGGGGGTTAACCACCGGAAGGGTGACAAGAAAAAGAAGCACGGTCGTGACGAGAGCGAAGATGAGGTGGTCAAGAAAGGGGGAAAGAAGGGAACTCTGGTTTCAGACATCGTCATCGTTGAGGACGAGCGTCACACGATCCGAGCCTTGTGCGAGGTAAAGACGCACTGGGCGTTCGAGCCAGGAAAGGAAGAAACTTGGAAGAGTTTCATAGCTCGAAAGTCTGGTGAGTCTTCATCACTTTTAACTGGGTTATCCAAGTCAGTATTCTGACCCAGGTTCTTGAATGAATAGGCCAGCTCGCTCGATACATGGACGACCATCACTGCAGGTATGGCATCTATACGGTCTATGAGTATACTTGGTTCTTGAAAAGGGTCGATGACACCCACTTGGCCGTGTCTCAGCCAATAAGTGCCAGTTCTGTCTCAACGTCTACTGCCCTATCGCTCCGGGAATGCCTACTGGCTCTTGTCATCGCGGGCGCTGATGAAGAAAGGAGCTACTACCCTGCCAGATATGGCAAACTTTTAGTAAGTAGTAGTCTGTTTGTGCTTCGAATTTGTTCTAACGGTATAACCAGACTACTCGAAGGCACACCATGATCGAGAAACCCACCTAATCTAAGAGGGAGGTCCTCCTAACTTCAACGTCATGAAACCTCGGAATGACAGAAATTAGCAAGAGCTGATCCCTCGAAATACCTCTTCTGAGTTTGATGTTTTGCATTGTGAGCTAACCTTTGGGTTGTTTGCGTTGAAATCAGAAGTTCATTGATTTAGTTGATCATTTCTGCTTTCGTAAGATAATCTGGTAGAGGGAAGGGGGAGTATTTGGAGTTAGATAGGCATGCACCTTAGCCAGAAACGATTTGCAGATTTCTCAGAGATTCTGTACTCCATCTTCTGATAGTGGCCATCACACGCATAGCAACGACAAAATCACTAAGAGGCCGACCTTCATCCAGCCTCCGAATGTATTGTTTGACCCTAGGCAGACTGAGGGTGATAAGCGATACACTCTAAGCCGGATTATCTAGCCACAGTCTGATTGACTGATTGAGACAATACCATGCTCGTCAGAGCAAAAAGGCCATAAATCACGTTTTCGGAGGTAGCAGTAACTGGTCTTTTTGCGTCCCCCTAAGCAGTAATGACCGAAGATGCACCATGTAATGTCAATGAGGCCTGTTTGAATGAGAATCGAAATAAGTAATGGTAAGTATGAAGCAATCTATGGATAGTGACGTACCTATAATGACATTGGTAGAGTGTCATAGTGAATGAATGCGGGTGGTGACTCACATACGAACACTGAAGGTCTTCCGCCCCGTTGATCCCCTGTCTCCGGTTTCCTCCCTTCAATCTCACATCCCCTGTCCCACACCTTCATATGCCTAAGGCATAAAGTCGAACTCTATTTTCCTCGAGCGGGCAGAGCATCATACAACGATCTAAACCATGTGGAGCTTCAGCTTCAGAGACCGAATTTTCGATATCGAGGGGGAAGATTTTAAAGTGGTGAGGCAGCTGACCGAGGATGACGATGCGGAAGTTGGTGAGCGCAAGGTTCTAGCAATAGCCAAGCGACAGGACAAAAAGTACCTGCTCAAAATACGCTATCAACTTGACCCGGAAGACTGTGACATAGAAGATCTGGACAAGACCTTGAAGGTTGCTGAACAGCACTACTGCCATGAAGTGGAGGCTATAGACCTTCTGTCTACACACGGATATGGGCCGAAGTATCTTAATCACGAGACCCACGAACAGCCTGATTGGATGCCTTTTCCTGGAGGGTACCTTGAGTTCATCGTTATGGAGTTTCCTCCTGGGAAGAACGTTGATGATATCCGAGAGGAGCTTACCGACACCCAGCGCAGGAGTATCAGAAAGCAACTAGCGCATTTATTGGAGTAAGTTAAATTCGCATCCTGCTACAGAAAATAAAGGGCTTTCTCCATTCTGAACTAACGCATACTGACTATCTGGCAGGCTCATGCGCCAGAATGACTACAAACTGACTGAGCAACACCCAAGCTACCTTCATTACGATGCTCGGGCAGACAGGCTCTATTTAGTAGATCTTGCGGGCCTTGGATATACCAACTCAGCCACATCCTATCCGATCGACGAGGAGAGTCCGTACGTGACAGCATTCAACATCTGGCGGAAGGAGTACTCGAAGCCTAAGCGAACCCCGAAGTCCGGCGACATTCCATTGTCCCATCAGCCTATTAAGAAGGAGAACCAGCCCCCAAGGAAGACTTGATTTAGCATTGCTGCATTGAAAACAACTGGAGTCTACGGACCTCAGTCTGACTAGTTTAAACATTGCGTTCTTTTTGCACGGGATGCCTGCCGTAAATCTTAGGCGAAGGAATCCCTCAGCGTCGCTATATTAGCAGGTGATACTAGCCAGGTTCTCCAAGTTTACGCAGGATGCAATGGCTCTATGTACAAGTTATTCGTATCTTAATCTCAAGTTTGGATGGCATTTTATACTGGTATTACTAAGATCAATTACTGTTATCCAGGTTAAATTGCCATTAGATACCTCAATACTGGGTCTCATCTGCCACATAGAATTCATGCATTTAGCCAGACAGATATTGTCATTGTGCTCAAGACAGGATACATTTTCATTCGTACACATGCCCCTTTTATTCCCAGCAGATTTCAGGAGACTGCAAAGAGCCTTGCCACGTCGAAATGGGGAAAGTGTTTGGTGTTGGCTTCCTCAGTCATCCTGTGAAGCTAGCATTTTATTTGATGTTAGCTCGCAAAAATTCAGAGAGTTGAAGCCTCATGGCGACCGAGAGAAAATATGAGACCTTGTATCGGCCCAATAAACTACCAATCTGTTCATGCTCTCCTAAAATATCGATGTTCGAAAAGTTGACACTACAATATCGGATCATAGATGACGCCTCAGTCAATTTTCTTAACCTAGAAGAGCGACCTGAAATATCCAGCTTACTGGAACTCCTATTACACAACTGGAATAATCACAGTTCCAGCGGCGGGAACGAGTGAACACCGACTAAATTGTCATAAGCCACTCGTTATCTATCCAGAAAATGCGCTACCCGGTTCTCTATTCCGAACTGTTCAAAAATTTGTTGGCTTAAGGCCCCTCAAAGCGTGGAGGAATATGGAAATATACATGACGTGAAATAGTATTAAGCCAAATCTGGAAGGACCCTGATTTTCCACGTTCAGCCACGGCTTGGATTCAAGGATGCGGCTCGGCCCGTGGCGGGTCTACAGATGGGGCGGCCCTGGGATCTGCGACTGTCTTTCCGGTTTTGTTTTCATTGTGCAGAAGAAGCAATCAGTTATTTGGTTAACTCATTGAAATCTTACACTATACTAAGAGCGGTCAAATGTATGGGTACACAAAACCTTCTTCAAATGTGGACGCCAGGGCGTAATCAAACACCGACGCAGACATAGTATCCCTACCACAAATTATCGCATGCTGCATTAAGCTCCGTGTTCCACTCGCGCAGTTGCGCAAGTGTGATTCCCGCTTCATTAGAGATGGACCAACAGTTCTCTCCATCCTTAATCAGATGAAAGGATTTGCAGTTCTCGACTATGCCCGGCAGCTGAGGCGTCGGGCTTGAGGGGTCGTTCGTGGGGTCTGGGGCTGCTGTCGTTGTGGTGGTTGTGCCGGGGGTGTGTACGCAGACATAGTAGTCAAGCCAAAGATTCGAACAGTCTGGGGTTTAGGACAGAATATGTTAGATTACTGCTATGTGAGCGTAGAGGGAGAATAGGGAGGCATGAGTACCATCGTTGACCTTGGTATTCCAGCTCTTGAACTGGGCCGTGGAAATGCCATAGGAGTTAGAGATAGTTTCACAATTGTCGCCAGATGCGACCTTATAGTACTCGTCGCAGTTGTCGACAATGCCGGGCATTTGGGGAGTCGGACTGGAACCCGGGTCTTCGGTCGGCTCGGGCGTTTCAGGAGTGGTTGTGGTAGATCCCGGGACGTGTATACAGATATAGTAGTCTAACCACAGGTTTGAACAGCCTAATTGAATGAGTTGCATGTCAGTAACAAAATATCACAGTCCCTCCCGTCGTCAATGAAAAAACATGGGCCAGTAGGGTTTTCTCACTATCATTAATCTCACTGTTCCAACGCAACAGCTGAGCCGTGGTAATACCATATGTCTCGGCGATAGTGTCACAATGATCGCCAGAAGAGACCTTGTAGAACCCATCGCAGTTATCGACAATGCCTGGCATAGCAGGCGAGTTGGTAGGCACAGCTGCGGTGGTGGTTGTGATGGTGCTGGGAGTTGTGACTAAAGATTTAGACGTCGTAGACGAAGACATCGTTGTCGTAGACGTGGTGCTTGATGTATCGTCACTGACGGTTCCGATGACACAGTACAACTTGGTCGTATCAAGATCTGGGCAGGTAATACTAGGGTTTAGCTGCTGAAGGCCCTCAATAGATAGCCCCCAAACATCAGCAAAGCTATCGCAGGTATCACCTTTGCTAGCAGCCGTGGTAAAGGAGCACTCAATTGTACGTTTGGACAGCGCACAGACAAGGCCTGGAGCAAGTCCAGCGACAGTGAGGTACTTGAGTTGCATTTCTCTTGGTATGGAAACGGCGTCTTGCTAGTTTCAGGGCGATACGAGCCTCCTATAGAGGATAGCCGAAGAGAATGAGGTAATAATCAGCAACATTTGAAGGGTATACACTGGCTTATATACTCATCTGGACACAACTAACCATTCCACTGGTATTGGCTTGACTCCAGTGGGCCTGTTCCCCCACGTCAAATGTGTCATTTCCCATTGTCAATCAGCGAGCCGAAGACTGGGATTGTTAGACTGGGTCCTATCATCTTTATCCCTGTATTCGCGCAGTCTACATGACTAAATGGACAAGTATCTACGATGGTGGGGCGTCAAATGATAGTTCCTGCGTTGAATGGACTGGAGGGGACGACGTCTACGACACTAGCCATTAAACCAAGACACCCGGTTGATAACGACTCAGTCAATGGTTGAGACCATAGTGCACATGATCAGAATTTGATACGGGGATGACCTCGATCAAGAGCATGTAGGGTACATGTGGTGTGTATGCTGCGTTAGCGCAGTAACGGCTCCTTGGCGAGGGACCAGTTGTCCAATGGATATAATCGTGAGGCAGGAAGCGAAAATTCATAATGAACTAATGAAGCACCAATGTAAGCGAGATTAGCAATAGCGACCTTCCCAATATGGTAAGGAAGGAGCGGAAGCAGCCGGCAAGGCTGGGATCATGGCTTCCCTTTAGCGCCTTGTCCACATTGGCTACGACTACCTTATAAGGCTAGACCCTTGCAAAAGAGTAGCCAGGGACCATTTAGCGCACTTTTTGGGATACCAATGTAACGTTGCCCGCAGCGCCAAGGCTCGGCACAGAAAACAGAGGCTTGAATGGTTCCTCGCTCCGCTCCGATATTTCTTTAGATCGTCTTGGCGCGCCATGTCACCTTGACGGAGGCGATGACCTGACCCCAAGTCCAAGACCGGACCTGCGCTATCTCCTGTTAGTTCGGGCGGAGGAATCGCTCGTGCGCTTTCAAGACCTATCAGTTAGTCTCGGGCGACAGGGGTCGGGAGACTACCTGCCAAGGACCCCTATTCCACTCCCTCTCCCGACACACATATTTTACAAATATTCTCAATTTTCCCTACCTCATTGATACTAGTCACCGGAAGTCCCTAAGAGCTGGACGGTACTATTGAGCAAGGTCAACGTGTTTCTCTCAGTTCTAGCTTCGCTATACCGGTCTCTCAACGTCCGCTTTTGGCTCGACCCCTCAAATCCCTCAGCCATGCCTTTTCTCCAATCAAAATGGCTCATAGTACTCGGAGCCTTGATCACTTCCTCGCCTGCGGTCGAGTTTGACTTGGTGTTTCCTCGAAGCAATGCCTCATACTCACCAGCCGAGTCGTTCCCCTTCGTCTTTGCTGTGCAGAACACGGAAAGGGCAGAGCTTCTCAACCTCCGTTTATCCTACTACATTTACCACAAAAGCAATGACGGGCTGAATTTTGATAACCGATTATGGATGGTCCATGATTTCTCGTGGACAAATTGGTCGGGCAGCGCAGACCCTTACTTCGTCTACGACTACTTCGACGACAGCTTTAACACATCCGGTCGTTGGTTGGTTGAATGGGAGCTGCGCTGGGAAAGCTGCGATGTGGAAGCGCTGACCCACAGCCATCATAGTGGTGGAGTCTCTGAACACTACTACCATTCTACGGAGGGCCTTTATATCAACAATTCCAGTCTCAAGGAGGTGGACCTTGTCGCAGCTACCGCAAATGAAAGCTGCCCCGGAAGCCCCAACGGAATCGTCATCAATGTGACCGATACTGTCATGAGTTCTCCTTCGTGGCTCAACTGGGCACACCGGGACACATGTGTCGTTACTGAAAACACAACTGCCAGTCCTACAACCTCTACGCCGGACCCATGCCGCATTGCGATAGACGAGGATACGGCCGAGAGCATGGCGGCCGCTCAGCAACAGCGCTTCTGCTACCTTCCGGTTCCCCCCGATAACTGTCCCAAAGAGGAGAATGGGGCTACGCAATTGGCTGTACTTGGGGTATCTGGGATTTTAACGGCAATTGGAGCTTTGGGCCTGGCCGGATTGTTAATAGACATTTTTTGATGTATAGCTCGGGCCGACATGGTTTAACTTTCTTCGTGCTTACACCTATCGTACCTCCGAGGCATCACAGAATCAGTAGTCAGCAGCATGTCTTTAGTAACACTTACAGAATTCTGTCGAACCATGCCGTCCCTATTCAACAATGACTGAATATTAAGTGTATCAACTTAACACAATGTGCGATAGCCAACTTGCATAGATCATTTGTGATCTCTCCAAGTCCACTTTCAAGGTATTAATTACTAGCAATGAAACCCTTTTGTGTAAGCTGAACCAGAACAATTGAATAGCTAGCTCATACTACTGCCTTGGCCTCCGCCACACACCCACTACCTGCAAATGAAATTCACTTTGGGTTCTGCCTCTGCTACCTCGCCTTAGTATGGGCTGATATCACGGAGGCCAGTGCGCATCGATCATTTCCAACTTTCCCACGCCGGACCATGCCTACAAATTTGATGCAACCTTTAGAGTTTACGGTCAAGGTAAGTACCCACAGCTTACAGAACATGGTAGGTTTGACGGTAGAGGGAGAAATATCAGACCCTTTCATGCCTGCCAAGTCCTCTCAAGTGGGTTGGAACACTACTGGGCTTTCATTGATAAATCCCAATTTTGGGGGTTTTACTATAGAGAGCCACGGAACAGATCCTTCATCAACTTTGATCCATACACATCTATTCTCCTCTCTCTCTCAAGAGTAGTCTTCTTCGCGATCCTGACTGCTTTCCAGCTGGATATATTCTACCCGCCCTTTTCCCTCTCTCCAGTCTATCTAGGGATCGCCCTACCCTGCGCTAATATCGGATTAGGAAGTTCGCCCTCCGCTGTTGTGGGGAATTTCCCGCGCTACTGCCACCCGTCATACCGCCGCTCTACTCCCAACAATTACGACTCACAAGCTGACAGAGAAATTGCGCCAAGGATAACTACGGTATGGGTTCGCGAGAAGCTACCACTCATACACAGTTCCAAGATAGAAGCCAAACCAATCAGCAACCATGGTATGTCTTAGATTACTATGTGTCCCTGCCGCAAGATGAACAGGCCCGTGGGGGTCGCGTGCAACGCCCAGTCGAGATTGATGGTGAAATCCGCTTTCGGAGCTTTGGAATCAAGAGACTTGCATGTGCTCGATGTTGGGCTCCTGGTTCTTGTTTCTTATATAAAAGGTATATATTTTCCCCCATTGTCAGTGTCCTTTCTCCTTCCCATGATTTGACTCCTACCTCAACCACGTTCTTTCCTTCCGGCACAGCCCACACAGTCTTTCCTTTAATTGTCTTTTCATTTGCACACGGTCTTTGCCTTGAGACATCTCTTGTTCTTTCTTATTTATTACTCTTTTCCGTTACTATTCAATTTTTTTTTTTCTTTCTTTTGTCAAGGTCCTCTCGGTCTTTATTCCTTTTCCATGGTGACCCTCACTTGGCTCGGTGCGGCAGCAGCCTTCGTGCTGACCGCATGGCCACCTTCAGCTATCGCAAGCCCTGGCTTCCGTAGCTTTGCCAGCCAGAGCTACAATAGCGGTGCTTCCGCCTGTCCTGAGCGCTGCCGTGATGCTGGGCCCAATACGGGGAACTGGTCGGTGTACTCGGGCTTCAGGCAGATCCGCACGTGCAAGGAAACGATGTTCTATGACTTCTCCTTGTTTGACGATGTTGATGATTGGGAGAGAACCCACCGCATTCAGGCCTGCTCTTCATACGGGCCGGACTTCGCCACTTTCCCTGCGACTACCGCTCATGTCACTTCTAGCGGTCCCGTTGATGTTCAGTTTGAACTTGGGTGGTGGCAGGAGGGGTTCGGTCTGGCGGGTGCTGGGCTGCGGTCAATTGTTAGGCAGATGCGCCACTATGCCGATAAAGAGCATGGCAAGTCCGATAGGCCATTTATCATATACGGCCAGTCTGGTCAAGCTACAATCGGGTTGTATGTTGGCCAGGGTCTGCTGAAACAAGGGCTCGGCGAGTCTGCGCTCAAGCTCTTCCAGGATAATCTTGGCAATCTTGCTATCTCCACCCCTAGCTTAGCTATGCAGCTCTGTGAGGAAGGCTACGATAGTACACATGTATTCGGTATTATGGCGACTAGCAATGGAACCTTTGCTCCCATACAAAATGCAATCAAGTCTTGGGCTCATGCAACGTGCTTATCGTTCCCCGGATCTGTCAAGCTTGCGGGCTCAGTAAAATTCACTACGCCCCTCCTGAATGGCAACCACACTACCGCGGCCAATTCCACTTATTTGGAGCGCAATATTGTTCGGAAGATTATCACAAGGGGAGGTGGCGAGTGTACAACTGTACAGGTTGACGCTGGGAACAGCTGTGCAGACCTGGCAGTGAAATGCGGCATTTCAGGCGCTGACTTCACGAAGTACAACCCCGGCAGTGATTTCTGCTCCACATTGAAGCCTAAGCAGCATGTTTGCTGCTCTGATGGAAATCTTCCTGATCTTCGTCCCCAGCCCAATGAAGACGGCTCATGTAAGGCATACCAGGTCCAGGCCGATGACAATTGCGACAGCCTCGCCGCGGAATACAGTTTGAGCAGCGATGATTTTGAGAACTTTAACAAGGACACCTGGGGTTGGAATGGCTGCGAGCTTCTGTTCAAAGATACGGTTATGTGTTTGAGTGAAGGAACTCCGCCCTTCCCCGCAGAGATCTCCAATGCTCAGTGTGGTCCCCAAAAGCCAGGCACAATCCCGCCAACTAATGGCTCGAATATTGCCGATCTCAACCCTTGTCCGCTCAACGCATGCTGTAATATATGGGGCCAATGTGGCATAACTGCGGACTTCTGTGTTGATACAAACACTGGGGCCCCGGGAACGGCTGAGCCAGGAACCTACGGCTGTATATCGAATTGTGGGATGGACGTTGTGAAAGGATCTGGGTCTGGGGATGTCAAAATCGCCTACTATGAAGGCTACTGCCTTAGTAGGAAGTGCCTCTTTCAGGATGCTTCGCAGATTGATACCTCGCAATACACGCACCTTCATTTCGGCTTCGGAACACTGACCGACTCTTGGGAGGTTGAGACAGGGGATACACTGTCCACCTACAATTTTGGCGAGTTCAAGAGAATCACAGGAGCCAAGAGAATTCTTTCAATTGGTGGGTGGGACTTCTCAACCATGCCTGAAACATACAAAATTTTCCGTAATGGTGTCAAACCAGCGAACAGGCTAACGATGGCGACGAATATTGCCAACTTCATCAAGGACAATGACCTTGATGGTGTCGATATCGACTGGGAATATCCAGGGGCGCCCGACCTCCCTGAGAATGACCCTGGGACGGAGGAAGACGGTCCAAACTACCTGGCATTCCTTGTCGTTCTCAAAAATCTCTTGCCGGGAAAGTCTGTCTCCATTGCCGCACCGGCATCCTACTGGTACCTGAAGCAGTTCCCCATAAAGGACATGGCTAGGATCGTCGACTACATTGTCTATATGACTTATGACCTTCACGGCCAGTGGGATGCGCATAACAGCAACTCACAGGAAGGCTGTGATACGGGTAATTGTCTGCGCAGCCAGGTGAATTTGACGGAAACTAAACAGTCTTTGGCAATGATTACTAAGGCAGGTGTCCCTGGCGCAAAGGTCATTGTCGGTGTTACGAGCTATGGCCGATCCTTCAAGATGGCAGACCCAAATTGCTGGGGGCCCGATTGTCTTTACACTGGCGACCGCTTGAACTCTGACGCGAAGAAGGGCGAATGTACTAATACAGCTGGTTACCTTGCTGGCGCGGAAATTGACGATATCATAAAAGATTTCTCTCGAGTCGTCAAAAGCTATGTCGATACGACCAGCAATAGCGACATTCTCATTTACGATAAGGATGAATGGGTCGGTTACATGAGCACCGCCACAAAAAGGGCCCGCACCACCCTGTATAGCGCTTGGGGCTTGGGTGGAACCTCTGACTGGGCCAGCGACCTGCAAACCTATCATGATGTTCCCAAGCCGGCGACAAACTGGGCCAACTTTATCCAGCTCGCCAAAGCAGGGGAGGACCCTAAGACTGACCAAACACGTACCGGAAACTGGACCTCGTATAACTGCAGTAACGATAATGTTGCAAATCTATTCGACTTCACACCCTCAGAGCGGTGGAAGAACATGGACACAGATACGGCGTGGCGTGACATAATCCGAATCTGGAAAGACACCGATCAACCGCGCCATATGACTTTCATGGAATCTGTTGAGAGTACCACCCATTTCAAGCGTCAGGCCTGCAATAATATAAAGTCCTCGAGCTGCAATTCCGTTGGTTGCGAAGACGCTGCAAATGAAGACCACTCTGGCCCCGCAGCCTTTCTCATCCTGGACTCAATGGCCCAAATTCACGAGATGTACAAGCAATACTACACTGCCTTATTCGACTCTCTTGGTCTTGTCGGTACAGCACTGGACGATATGGAAAACAAATTTGCGCCTATCCCACCAGAAGAAGATAACACCTGGCTCAACATCCTTATTGACATGATCACTCTCGGCGCCCTAGGCACTGCAGGGCCGCTGTTCAACACAATGCTGAAGGACTACGCTTGGTTTTCTGGCAGCGCCCTGGACAATACAAAGGACACAACCATGACCCTCCTTGGACAAGGTACGACTACCGCCAAGGACGTACTACCTCCGGCTAGTAAGCCCAAATGGTCGCCGGAGGGACAAGATGAATTTTCTGCCTATCTAGGGCAAGTGGTGTGGGGCTGGTCTAATGTCACATCGCTAGCGTTGGATGACCTCTTCGGTGGAAACGACACGAGCATTGATACCCTCTGGGAAGTCATATCAGATGGCAAGCTCATCGAGGGTAAGAGGGATACTGACCCCCCTGAATCTGGAAATACCCAGAATGAGCTGCTTGCCAATATTAATAAATGCGTCGTCGGCTTTGCATTGCCCGCATTGTGGCGCCAAGCTGGATCTTATACGTTTATCATTGATTCAGGTCAGTCTTGCGACGATGACCCGGACATCAGCGAGTACTTGGACGACGATACTATTGATGCCACGGGTGTCTGCGTTGACAATCGACAATACTACCTCGCATATCCGGATGGCCCTGCGACTGACTGTACTTGCAAGATCATCAACGATTCCGGCCCCTGTCAAACGGTCTGCAAAGACAGCAAATTCTCTGCTCCCGAAGGAATCCAATACATCTCTGGCGACAACAGCTACTACGGCATCACGACCAACGAGCTGGTCAAGGGCTCTGTCCGGACCTGGATAGCTAACGGGAGGGAGAACGGCGCTAGCATAGCAGATCCCACGAATCACGGCACCATGTCTGATCTGATAGACGTGGATGTTACAACGCCCGGCTTCATGCGGATCCCTGTTTGTAGCCCCGCCCGCGCCTTCCAATCCTGGGATACGGCCGACAAAGACTCAAGCCCGAACTGGCCCTGCGATATCCCGCCTGGTAAAGATGAGTGCGGTGAGTCAACCTTTGTGGACCAAACTAGCGATGCATCACCAAAGGTAGAAGACTGCCGGCAGATCATCAAGAACATCGAGGGCGATGCATCCACTAGCTGGACGACCCAGGTTGTTGGCCATAACCAGCGCGAGATTGCCAGTCACGCATCCTGTCACTTTGGCGTTGAGGCTACTAAGACCAACGGAAATGTCAATTTCAAGGTCGGCGGGCAGGATGTCATTGATATTATCAATGATGCTATCGACAAATTTGCTAGGGATGGGCTGATCAGCGCAAAGGGAAACATGGATTGCAATGGTAATGTAAAGAGTGAGCCGGTGCTGTGGGGGATATACTAGGAATGTGTAAGCGCTATACTACTGGCCGAAAATGACAGGTCGGCTTATCTTGCGAAGGAGATGGAGATGGAGATGTTTGTTTGACTAGAATGTGATGTTATATACTATGTGTTGAGGCATTCATGTAGGCTTAGTCACGTGCGTGGCACGCAGGCCGCCGACGCAAAGCACCATCTCGCGTTGTTTCGCTGTGCGCACCTAGATAGCTAATACAACCACTCTTTTGCTGCATCTTTGCGTTCGTTGTGTCTGCATTTTTGCTGTTTCGTTGCTTCACACGTAAGATCGCGCCTCAACACTATCTATAGTAGGTGGTAATACACACGGAGTTTAATTCAGTAAGGCAATCACGCTTCAAGTACTGCCACCCCCCTGAGCCCAGAAGGGAGCTTTACATACTTCAGACACACTGGCACTAGCAGCTCTCTCGTACCTCTCGCACTCCCATGGAACAACGATTTCACCCAAATCTTCACTGCATCTTTGCCGGAAACGCTAGGGAGTAGACACTTTTCCCCCCTGTAGCAGCACGAATCCAAGCAGTTGGGGTTGTGCCTGATTGTAGTGTTTTTAGCTAACAGATGAGTTGTTAATTTAAGCTAGAGGTTGCGTGCGGGCGCATTTACATACGCTAGTGTTACAATACACCCCACGGGCGTTCGACTTTCAGTGTGGGGCCGGCCCAGAAGTCAATCCCGTTGTTATGCGTGACCGGCTAAGATAAGATGGGGCTGTTTGAAACCCACTGATCTGCAGGGTCCGCTGTGCAGATTAGCGCCGGAAACTTTATACGCGTGACTAAGCATTGGGTTAAGCTAACTAATGCTCATGCTAAACTATCGGGGTCCCGATATCGCAATGAAAGGTGTAGTCATACTGGAGGCCCAGGAGAGTGACTAACTACTGAATCCGATTATCCTGAGTATAGGCTTCCTGCACACGAAGAAAATCAATTCATGCCATCAGCTTTTGTTGCTCAAGCAAATCCTGAGGTCCTGATTTTGTTTTTCTTTTCTTGTTTTCTCCCTTTCCTTTCCCCTTTTGTCGTCATATGCGTCCAATAACATAGTTGACTAATGAGCTATTTATGAGAGTGAGTAACTGCCCCCTTGAATCTGCCCAGCGGGTCATATCTTCTTCTCAAATCTTGCAACTGAGCGAAATGTGGTCCCCAAATCTAGTTCCCGAATGAGCAGCAGGTCAGATGATGATTGTGTCTTCAGACTTACCTTTTTCGCGTCATAGAACTTTTCATACCCATTAGAAAGGTAATGCAGATCTGCATTTTCTCCCAAGACGGTGGAGCCTGCCTTGATAGCAAGATCTCGTACCAGATCTTCGTGGTCACGTCCTGCATCAGCCGGACATCCGGGACCCATAAGCAAGATATGCTTGACCCCTTGAGGTCGTGGCCAGGCGCAGCTGGCTACTCCTCCCGGAGGGTCGCGCTGGAGCATTCAGTATGGAGCAATGAAGTATCTTCCTGTGGGTTTATCGGTTCCTGTGACTTACCGAACACAGCAGCTCAAAGATCAAATATGTGCAGTCACCAAGCGATTCGTCCAGTTTTCCGATGTCTTCAGACCATCGAACAGCGTTGATGATGGTGTCCTTTGAAAGTTCTCGTAGAAGCAACGGCGACCAGAACTGCTTCATGGTGCCTTTGGCAATATGCACCTTGTCTTGTCCATAATAAGCATACATTTACCTGCAGTTTCAAGCTTATGCCCTTACCCTGTAAATCTGCAACACCAGCAAAGGTGGTGACCTTGGTTTGGTCAATAGCTCCGGGGATGTTTAGTGCCCACTGGAAGTTGGCCCGACCATGCGCTTCTCCACAGGCATCAAAAGCATGAAGTACCAACATATCTGAGTCTGCCCCGATGGACTTTAGCAGCCGCTTCTTCACGACGTATAAGAACATGGAGATCTTCGGCTCAAGGGGTCGAGAAACAAACTTCGCCATTTCGTCTGCTGTTACCTCGAGCTGCTCTCGCGGTATCAGAATCGGGCCAGCCCAAATATTCTGCGGATAAGGGAACACTCGTAGCACAACCTCAACGACGACTACATTTTGCGCGTTAGTAACTGTTTATTCCAAATATAAAACACTTTGTATTGCTCACCGCCAAAGCCACCTCCGCCGCCACGTAATGCCCACAAAAGATCTGGCTCCGAGGATGCCCAAACAACCGAGCCATCATACTTCACAACTTTTGCATCCAGCATATTCGCTGGGTCTGAGATACACCCGTACTCTCTGGAAAGCCATGAAAAGCCACCGCTGATGATAGTGCCTGCAACGCCCACACAAGGGGTGCGAGCTCCCACGACTGCATTAGTTTTGTGTCAGTATCCGCCCACGGAATACGTGATCTGGAAGATTGAAGGTAGAATCCTTACTTCCATATTCCGGTGCGACTTCACTCAGCTTCTGATAGACATCTGACCATGTTTGTCCGGCTCCGATCGTGGCGAGTTCCGAATCTCTATCGAGGTGAAAGCCATCGAACGCCGACATATTCACCAACACATCGCTTGCGGATGCGGACATGAACCCATGGCCGTATATAGCAAAGTCCAGATTGGTGGAGTAAATGTAGGCGATTGCCTTGCTCAAAGAGTCAACAGATGTGGGTCGAAGAACAATGTGAGGGTTCAGTTGTTTTTGGGCAGCCCATGTCTCAATTCTCGATTGGTAATCCGGGGAAGTAGGACGAATTATTTCACCCGGATGCAGGAATGATTCCAGCATCTTGACATGATCCTCCACGGTGCATGGTTCGGCCATATTGAGGGTGTGCTTGGTTTCAATCAATTGGTGAATCGGACTTCTGCGAAATGGACTTCTGCAGTATGCAATACGTACCCCGCTGTGGCGGTTATATATCTGTGGTAGGTCCGCGGCCGAAAGAACATTGTTCCTCGAATTTGCGTCATACTAGAGCGCTGAAGATCTGCATTCACCTTCAGGAGAGCCTGCTCTTTTCGTCTGATTCTACATTTCAGGTCTTGCATTAACAGGCTTCTTCGGCCAGACCGCCGTGGTTTGATGTTGTTGTCGGATATGGTACATTTGTGAAGGGAAGACCGAACACATCGGGAAAGTGGGCCCGCAAATTAGTTACCAATTACCCTTCCAGTTCGGAAGACCGGACCGTTGGCGACGAAGAAGATCTCCAAGGCGAGGGGGCAAGACATTTCGCTGTACGCTCATTTTTAATTCCATAAAATCTGCTACAGAATTTGATGCCTTGCGCTTCTTGAAATAAGATTCACTGATCGAAAGTCATACAGAAGCTACCTTCCAAGATGTCGAACTTTCTCGTTACTGGCAGTTCCCGCGGCTTAGGCTTAGAGTTAGTGAGGCAGCTATCTGCCCGAGCCTGCCTCGAAGGAGGGTTGGTTATTGCAACGGCGCGGAAATGCAGCCCGAAACTTACGGAACTTATCGCTCAGTCCAATGGGTGCATTGTCTTTGTTGCTTTGGATATTTCAGAGGAGTCAATAATCGCTGAATCAGCCGAGCAAGTCAGATCAGCGTTAAACGAAAACAGTCTGGACATGTTGATTAATTGCGCTGGAGTTCATAGTGAGACACATGGAAAACTAGCGTCAATGTAAGTAGCCTAGTGGATCCATTTTTTTGGGAGCATTTCCGAGACTGACCTCAACCTAATAGGTCCGACCTCGACTACCAGTTGTCAGTGAATGTAACTGGAACACATAACGTCCTTCGCCACTATCTTCCCTTGATGCAGAACAGCAAGGTCAAGAAGATCATCAATATGTAAGCATCAGATGCAATGAGATAGGTATATTTTCGATCAGGTGCTTACGGCTTTTAAACCACAGTTCGAGTGCATATGGCTCGATTACCAGTGCGCGCGAAGTATCGTACGCTCCTTGCCCGGCATACAAGATCAGCAAAGCAGCACTGAACGCCTTAACGGTCCAATATGCGCTGTCCTACCATGAGGAAGGATTTATTTTCCTCGCAGTCAGCCCTGGAGTAAGTTCTCACTTGCCGATCTACTGGGAAATCAATACCAGAGAAGCTAATGACACTTATCAGTGGCTGCAAAGTGACATGGGTGGGAAGCATGCCGACCTGACCGTGCCTCAAGGTGCAGAGGCGGTCTTGAACATCGCTATGTCCGCAGACCGTATGGACAATGGCCGGTTCAAGAATATTCATGTCCCAGGGTGGGAGGCCTATAAAGGCCAGGACGTCCCCTGGTAATTCGGGAGCGCAGATCATTTTCCCCTATGTATTATCAACACTATATGTCCAGATAGAATAGACCAGAGCTTAGATTATTGCGAAACTAGACAGTATGGAATCAAACGTGGCATTGAGGTATCTTGTTCCCATGTTGGAAGAAGTAACAGCACAAAGCACATCATGCGCATGTTAGTAGTTGGCTTGAAAACTGCAAACTCTCATGATCTAGGACCACGGAGTATGTGGCCAGGAGTTGCATTTTCGGTGATTGCGATTGGAATGCTCAGTCAGCAAGCCGGCCGGGTAGTTGATTTTCCCCTCCCTTCCCGCTCCGCACGCTCGACACTCAGCATTTCTTGCAACTATAGCTTCAGGATATTTGCAGTCGGTCATGAGAACATCAGAACTTCCGGTAAAGCTTGCTGCCAATGCCGGAAGATCTCACAGTCACTGGGGATATTCTGCCCGCGGTATGTTCTGCTCATCCCCATAGGCCGGAATACTCAGGGAAAGCTGTAGACGCTAATCAGAGCAAACAGTGTGACCTATGTCATGCGAAGAAGGTTGCAATACCATGAATACCAGGCTTAAACCACCTATTGAATCTGACAACAGTACAATGTAACAGATAAAGTGTGATCGTCGAGCGCACTGTGCCAATTGTGCAGATGCCGGTGTGGAATGCGAACGCCGGCGGCGCGGACGGCCAGCTAAGAAGAGAAACCAAAGGTTTGCTGTCATTCATGTCATGCTGAAGAGTAATCTATACATACGAAGTAACTGATAATGAACGGCAGTATCCTAAGGCCCCAAGAAAACATAGTAACGTTTGAAAGACAGCCGCCAGAGACACAAAGGTAAAGTGTGACAGCTTGTCGCAGTCGTCTTTCTGGGTTCGGTGCGCTGAACAACTACAGAAACCGGCAATTAGGCCGTAGGGCAGCGGAAAGAAACGTGAATAGAAGTACCGCTATAGAGCACAGCCAGCCTAACGACCAAGTTCTGGACTCAAGGGAGCGATCCTTAACCACGCCTACGAACTCGACACCCAGCGTCGAGGGCCCCAATTATCATGCAATACAGGCAAAAAACATAATCCAACTGGAATTAAATGACTCAAGGCATGTAAACCGCGGGAGGCAGTCCATACTTCGCTCTGCTCTCCAACTCGTGAGCCAAATTGCAGAGAGTGAGCCTCAACATTCGGACGAAATCATGGAAGAGTTTCAGCCTAACGATCCCGCCCTTTCGATTCCTGATGCACCCCCTCGAGAGCTGTTGTTTATGCTCCTACAAGGTATGAGTTTCTTGCATTGTTATGTCTTGATCATAGTTGATGAAATTAGGGCCGCCGGAATCGATGTGCATTCAGTGGCCGGATCACATCTCGCGCAAAACATATGAAGAAATGGCTACAGCCTTGTTACGAAGTGAGCCTCGGCTACAAGGTCAACGTCTCCATCAGTATAGCATTTGCATATATGTGAAAGCAATATTTCATATATATCAGGTGTCACGAACCGTGCGCAGCCCACTTCTGAAATCACAGCTGTCCCAATCTAGGTCGACTTACATCGCAGCGACAATTTGGAGCATTGAGAACCTGAGCATACTCAAACAGCCAGACCTCTCGACCATACAAGCTCTACTCTCGAGTGTAAGTCCCTGAGTCGCAGACATCTCTGGCGAAGACACCCTCATTGACATCGTATCTGTAGGCATTGCTTATGCAGCACCTGGGGAGGCTGAACCAATGTTGGGTCCTTACCTCTTATGCTGCCCGACAGATTGCATCCCTTAACTACCACAAGATCCGCAGGGTACCAGCGCGCTCAGACTCGGAGTTAGAGGTATATAGTGCGGTATACTGGTGCTACTATCTGGATCGGACGTTAAGTTCGCTTCTCAGTCGCCCTCCGTCATTGCCTGATCTTGATGTATCCCCGACGGATCTCATTGTATTAGACCCATGTTCGCCATATGATACTCTTTTACGTGTCCTGCTTGACCTCGCACAGGTTCAGGGGAAATTACATGCAGTATCTTCCGACACGAGGAATACTTCGAATAGCCAGGCTTTGGAGACCTGTCAGCTCCTTGAGTCCAGGATGCAGAGCATTCTTCGAGAAATGCCATCGGTACGTGTATCGGGACCACATATAGTTGCTTCACCCCTGACAACGCTCCATTTAGAATCGTGCATCCCTCCCGAAAATGGTACAACATGATTGGGTTGCGGTCGACTTCTGCTACTACGCGATTTTCGTCGAGATCGACCGAACACGCTTGAAAAACTCGTTTAGTCCAGTGATACACAGGGAATGTCTCGTACATGCCAGACAGTCACTTGGAGCATTTCACTTTATCCAGCAGCATGCGGAGGAAATGCCGGGATTTGAAGAGCCATATCCATCATTCCTGACATGGTTCGTTGATATTCCTGGACATATCTAATTTCATTGCTGACTATTGAACAGGACTTTGTTCTTCTACCCACTAAGCGCCTTCTTCGTGGTCATCTGCAATATCATCGGAACTTTAGATCATGACGATTTCAAACTGCTTCAACAAATAACGCAGAGTTTGTCACAGTTCAAGCAAGATCCACACCTTGGAAAACTTTTAAATCTTCTCCAGTCGTTGGAAGATCTCTGCGAACCGCTGTTCCAAGAAGGGGCTTCTGGCCCAGAAAATATATCATCAAACCTCCGTGCATCCGCCCCAAATCAGGTAATGGAACCTGTCACTATGGATGGCATTCCTCCGAGCGCCTCCTTCGATAGCAATTTCGGGCTAAGTGATGAACCGATACCGAACTCGGAGTTGGACGCCTCAGCCGACTGGCTGATGTGGCAGCTTTTCAATAGCCAAATCCCAGCGGGTTGGCTTAGTAGTAGTATGGACCCTTTTGAAATATGAATGGAGGTTTCCATTTCTTCTTTTTTCGCGGGGGTAGGGGGCCGGGGCGGAATCAGTCAGCCGGAATCACAGCGGACGGTCTCGACTGGCGCTCGGATTTTTCTTCTTTCGTTCGGGATTCCGGTGGCTCGGGTAGTCGGCTATCCCATATCAAGTCTAGCTCCACTTTACCTTGTTCATCGTCCCAATTCTATATCTCACATTCATAAGATAATTAACAAAAAGGATTTGAAGAATACCTGGACACAATACTCCCATTCAAAACCCTGAAGTACGCACCCAATACTCCCCAAAAATCCCAACCCTCACATACAAGCGACTAACCAATACCAAAGCCGAAGCAAGCCAACACCACCACCCTACAAAAGTGAACAGCCATCATCGCCCGACATGCACTCAGAAAACGACGCAGGGTTCACGGTCCACTGCGACAGCCTGGAATGGCTTCCCCTTGCCCCGAGTGTATTCATCAAAATCGTCAAGCTAGTTCCCGAGACCGGAGAATACACAATCATGGTCCGCGCCGAACCCGGTGGACTCCTTCCTCGCCATCGGCATGTTGAGAGTGCGGAAATTTACGTTCTCAAAGGAAGCGGCGCACACCCTCAAACTGGCGCATTTGTCCAGGGGGATTATGTTTCGGAAAGCAAGGGAGCCGTGCATGATCCTCTCCCGTTTGAGCACGAAACGGAGCTTTTGATGGTGAGCAGAGGACCTTCGGTGTTTTTGGCTGATGATGGGTCGGATTTGTATACGATGGATGTGGCGATGTTGCAGGGTATGGTAGAGAGAGCGAAATAAGTTGAGGCATTGGGGTTAAAATTTGATACTCGGTTTTTAAACTGTCTGAGATAAACTGCATTGGTTTTGGTTGGAATGATGTGGGAAAGTTGATCCCGATCAGGCAGTTCCATTGCGGTCCAATGCAGTAAGAAAAAGCTCAATGAGCTGTGTGCAATCAGTGTCCGATGCGTAGAAGCCTGGAAAGGGTGCAGATGTACTCACCTTGCCTGTATACTTGTTCTTGTTGTCCATCTTCCGACAGTCCGCCTCCCACTTATTCAGACTGTCTGCAGAACAGTGTAGAATATCATTAATTGAACCATCCCTCTCCATTTCGCTGGCGAAGTCCTTTCCCTCTTTGCTATCGCCGACTCGAGAGAGAACAAAGAGTGCTGCGTTGTTACCATACTCCTTCAGTTCAGGTGCATTTTTACAAGAGCGGATGGTTGATTTTAGTGTCTTCCGGCCTTGAGCTGAACGTATCTATTATTTTGGTTACGGATCTTGTCAGCACAGATATCAACAGTCTTATCGACTTATTGTAGATTGGGATTTCCTCACCTCGGCGTCAGTAAGCATTATAGTTATCACCGGCCGCTTAAGCTCCCCTGCACGGGCCTTCCTGATAATCATAGGATGGACAATATCCCGATTGACAACGTCGCCTATCTCTGGAGAGCTCCAAACCACTCTCTTGATATCGAGGAAACTAGCATCCTTGAATATATTGTCCACTTTATCGCCCGTATTGATGTTCTCGTACAGATCCTTTTTGTCGCCGTTGGTATTGAGAAACTGGATCGTAATTCCTTTTGGCAAGAGAAGAGAAGAGATCTTGACAAGTTCTCGCAATGTCCTTTGCATGGCCTTCTTGTACTTATACATAGAGAGACTATTATCTAGAACACGCAAAGGATGTTAGTTCATCAGAAGTGGTATTGGTCGAGCCTTCCCTGCATTGTCAATAAACTCACCACAGACAACAACCATATCAAATAATGCCAGTTCCACCATGGCCGTTTCTTTGCCAGCAGGCACATTGTATTGTTGAATAAAATTCCTCATCTCAGCTGCTGCCTTTCGCACCAGCTGTTCGATAATCGGGTCATCCTCTTTGAAGAACCCGCCGTACTTATTGATGATGACGGTTTTATATTGTCGAGCCACCTGAGTGAATCTGTTAGTATATCTCCTAGTAAACAACAAGTAGCACACGGCCATATACTCACGCGAATATTTCGTGAGGAATCGTTATTCGTGGTGGTATTTCCGCAATTCTGTTGCATCGTGTTCCCGCAGTTCATATTCATAGTGTTCCCACTGTTTTGATTGATTGACGAATAGAAGCCAGGGTTTTCGTTGTTACTTCGTTTAGCCTCCTTTTCCGCGAAGTCGACCTCGGGTAGGGAGTCGAGACTCCTTAGTGGGTATGAGTTTGCGCCAGTATTGTCATTGCCCTCAGTGAGTCCGGCCGGCTTCGTGGTACTAACTTCTTCGGTCACTGAATCTTGTCGTTGAGAGCCATCTTGGTCAGGGTTGGCTGATGATGGCTCGGCATCCGAGTTTGGCGTATCCCGCATTGGCGCATCATCTTCAGAGTTCGTTTCAAGTGGAACGCTCGATACAGTGCTGTCAGACATATCCATTTCATCGGGCGTGATCTCGTGCACCATGAGTGTAGGATCTCCTTCATTTTGACTTTCGATTAGGCATGGGGGGAGATCTCTATCCTTTTCCAGCATAAGGTGTTTGTGATGTTGGCAATATGAGCCGGAACTCTTTGCGCGCTTCTTACACCTGCCACCATGTTTTGCGAGTGCTTTACACTGTTTGGTGTGAAGTTTTCCGAACTTCTTCTTGATACGGTAATTCATGGCTTAGGACTTCAGATAACCAGGGGAGAGGGGGTGGGAGGGGGGGTGGGAAGCGGCGCGGTGATTCTGTGGTGCGGTATGTGAAAAGTGGAAAGAGCACAATGGAGAGAAGATCGATCGTGGCATAGCTTGGGAGAATACCGCCTTATACATTCTGTTCGTGCTCAAAACATCGCAGTCCTAAGTTTAGTCTCCATTAGTAAGGCTTGTCCTTTTTCGTTAATTCCCGAAGTATCTGGGAGAAGGAATTATGAAAGCAAGTAAATCCTACCCGAAAGGCGAAGGCGAGCCAGGAGGTGTCAGCTTAGCCACGCGTACCGTAAGTAGTAGCAAACTAGGCAGGGTAAACCCTTCCATCATCCCCCGATAGTTCAAAATGGAAGCTGCTGAACGGGAAGCCGTCCTCGGGAGGGTTGCAGATAAGGCTTACTTGTGACGGTCGATCACCCATCAAAGTAACACTTAATTTACTCGGCGACATTGCAATCACCCTCGGGGTTGGCAGCTCCCCGATTTTGATGACGACATCTGATAGGAGGTCACATCTTGAGATTGGGGAGAGCCTGTCTGTTCTGCGGCAGACGCAGGAGTTGAGAATCAGCTGAGTTCCGGCTAGTACCTGTCACATCATATGTCACAGTATCTGGCAGCTAATCCTGCACGAATATGCTATATTTGTAATTATTGCATCCGTTTATTGGTTCTGGGTTGCATTCACTGCCAGTCTTTAGATTTACCGCTGTACGTAAGTCAGGCAGCCATGAGGGGTCTGCTCATTGCAAATATTGCAACTGTCTCGCTGTAGACCAGCCGAGCCTGGTTCGCCTCAGTGTTCGCCTCGGCGTTCTATACTGCTGAATTCTGCGTTCGAAATGAAAGCCAATACATGACCCTTACTAGATATCACTTGTTGAACGATAGGAACAAGGCTGCATGTTGGTTCCTTTAGCCTATGAAATCCCCACTACCCTAACATTGTAGCCTACAATACAATGCACGAGTCTCTAGCTTTTGTCGCACTCTCACGAGTTTGCTTCACAATACTAATGTGCGATTGTGCCATAGCCTCCAGAACATGGAACATTGATAGAAGCAGCTATGCAAATCCCGTGTCCTTACGCTTAGCCACATGGCCTCTTGACTAATGAGTGTACTCAGAGTTCAAGCGTGCCACCATCTCCACCCTTGACATTGTCCGAAGTCTGCACGTGATGGAAACCTCTGGCGAAATACCCGGTCTGATTAGTATTTTGATTCCTTAAGCGAAAGACGCAAAGTAGGTGAGGGTAAAGAGCGAGTTAATATAGAGAGCCGGTGGAAAATAAGACCCTGTGACTCGACAAGATGCGGCACATCGACGGCTAGACGATTTGAAGCTTGACCGAAGTGGAGAAGCAATCGCCAAACTCTGTGTTATTTTTTTCTTCTATTTGTTCATCCTTCTCCGCGGGGTATATCTTGCCAGATCGACGAGCCTGCCCTAACATAGTGAAAGATGGCGGGCATTGTTAGACAGCTTGCGAGCAGCAATGGTCAGCGTATGCATGTGTAGGACGTGTCTACGGGGTGGCCGTGGAATAGGAGTTGTCCAATCGTCCCAGCGATCGGCGTATCGGACAGACATATCCGATCCACTTCCACCGCCATATTGGTGTTACGACATGCAACACTACCCAAGCCTTCAAATCTGTCGTAGCCTACATATAGATGCATATTAGCTGAATGGTCTTTTTGCCCTTTCGGTAGAGATCAACAGGGCATGACTCAACATATGCAGCCAGCCAGCCCACCCCTGTCAATTGGGACCAGCCCGCCTTTGCTACGATGTGCTTTGGCTTCATCTGACTTGCTGTAGAGTAAAGGTGTGTATACTTGAGAAGTTCGTGTGTTTTGCGGCACTGCTGTAAGATTCTTTGGATTTAGGGACGAATTCAGCTCAAAGTGCCGGGCAGTGCAGTTCACTTCCGAAGTGCTATTGCATCACTTGGTACGATATCTATTCCCCCAGGATACATTCATTGTGGCTGTGCGTACACCAAGCCGAGTTCCCTGCGGCATCTGCGCCCCTACTTCGGAGTTACCTGAACGCCTTGTACCCAACTCCTCAGCTACTTGCCACCAAAGTAGCCACTCAGGTACCTGTGCAGCCAGGCCTTTGCAATGATGTAATGAGATATCTGACCATAAATTGAACCAAAGCCACATAGATGGCAGGCATTGATCATTCTTCTCCAACCAAAGCTCACCTCTCTCTCACTTACTACTTCGTGCTTACTTGAACACTGAATTGAATCATCCCCAATACTCAGATTTCTCATCACATCATGTGTCACAGAAGTTGGAAGCGAGGCAAATATGACACTCCAAGCCCATGGGCCTGGAACGGCGGCTTCCCCTACGGTGGAAGCCACAACAGCTTTTCTTGGAACAACAACACCGGAAATACCACCTCGACCAACTGTGGCAACACGACTTCGGAGAACTGCGGTAATACGACCACCAACTACAACAGCAGTAGGAATGTGACCACATGGGCCGATACTGCAACCGCCCACCACTACAATAACAGTGGGAACAGGACCACCCGGACCGGTGATATCTCGGCGAATGGAGGAAATGCAAGTAAGGGGGGCGCCACGGGTGGCGGGTCCGATTTGGCATCTTTTTTCTTCAAGTTGCCGGATGATGTTGTGGTTGGTAGTGATGGCCGTACTTTCTTCGGTTGATATACTTGGTTTCTCAAAGGGTGAGTGCTATTAGGCTATGTTATATTGCGACCGCATGCTGACATGGTTGATAGGGCTGAAAGGCGTGGCTGCTCCGTACATCGATCCGCATCCTAGAACGAGTCATGACTTGGTCGAGCGATCGGTTGAATAAATGGTGTCTGGTTCCGGGAGTTATCAAATCAAGTTCGTCACTCTGGTGTTCTTTTCGACACTTCATTGGCTTTGGTGTTGTTATTTGTAGCACTTGAGCTCTTATACGCATCTTTCCCAGCATCGTTAGTATGGTATTCGCTTGTTTGCCGTTCTTGATGTTTGACAATGAACTATTCGAAGCTCCCCACACTTGTCTATGAGCAGAGTCAGATTGAAATGTTTCATAACCGTGTGGAGTTGCTCGTGCTCATTCTACAATGTACGTCCATTGCCTACTACATCCATCATCAAAATCTTATATCTTGGTAAAGGCCATATATGCATCATATCTCATAATTAACACACGACAAGTCGCTTTCCTCCGTCGAAACCGATCTGTCCAACAATACAGGTCCAGCAAATGTCTCTATCTAGAGGTAAACAGAAGCATTTATATCCCTTAGCAGACGCCATGCTTACTGCAGCTAATCGAACCATCCATTGCCCATTTTTGGAGTTATTAGATGTTACCGGTGTCGAACGGAGCACGAGAACACCTTCAGGGGGATCTAGAATCTCCTCCCAACAATCGATAGACATCATTCCGGCCGTTTTTATTGGGGCTGTACGGAAAATAGAATCATGGTTGCATGATGGTTTTGAGAAAGAAGGATAAGCTAGGAATTGAACATCTGTCAGTCCCTAGAGAGGTCATCAGTGTTGTCCATCTCAAACCGGCGCATAAAGACGAATTCGGTCACCTGCAGCCGGACTTATCGGCTGCACCACCCATTAAAGAGATAGACATGATAACGCGAGTAAAGGCTGACCAAGTGTTACTGCATTGGAAGAACTGTGATTAGACGTGGGAGCCTATAGATCACATGAAAGAGGCTATTCCCAACCTACTCAAGGCGTATCAGAAGAAGCAGAAAAGAAGACGCATCCTTCAATAATATTAATCGGTCTCGACGAGAAAGCGGTCCTCAACGGGCTACGCGACAAATTCCAGTATTTATCTCTCATAGCGCGCTCCAGTCACATCACCCCTTTTTTTCCTCTTATGTTCAAACCTCATCTCAAACCTCACTTCAAACCTCACTCCGGACCTTACTTCGAACTATCGAACCTCACCTCCACCCAAGACATGCTACCAATTTGCTGGGTGCACAACACCTAATACCGGAAAATGGAGGAACGCTCACTAGTTCGCGAATGCGCTTCTCATCAGTTCATTCTACCATATGGAAGCGAGCCTTTAAGATCCAATCTTTGCACGACTGTCTGTGAATAGATTTTCAAATTATGAGGCGAAAAAAGATGATAAAAGGAAGATGAATTGAAGATGCATGGATTTCACTGGGCAGGGTTGGTGAAATAGAAGAGTAACTACATGACCAACTCAAGGTTTAGTATAGGATGAGAAAATTTTACATCGGCCTTTAAGCGTCGTGATACAATGTAATGTTGCAGCAGTCGTCTAAGCTTGGTCACATGGTTGGCGCTCAGGCCGCCACAACAGAGCAACTCATCGCGCTCGTTTTGCTGCGAGCTCTAGATAGTAAATACCGCTACTCTATTGCTCCACTTGTTTTCTTCGTGCTGCTTGCATTTTGCTGTTTCGCTTGTTCTTTACTGTAGTTCGCGCCTCGACATGTAATGATGACGACTACAAACCATAAAACCCAGCCTGTTATTCTCACAGCGACCAGTATACCTCCACCATCCCTATTAGTGCTGAAACATGTTCATCCATAGTGACAATCATGTCTCCTCGCTGGTTTGGTCGGGAGGAGGTGAGCCCCGGCGTCGTCGTTGAGCTGGAAAAGCGATGGCGCATTGTGGGTCACGAAGAGGAAGTGGTTATGCAAGGCAGCGAGCAAAGAACTGCCAAGCAGTGTCGTCCATATGCCTGCATCTTGCTGAAAGTACGACAAGTGGGCTCTAAGCCGCCAGTTTACGGAAATATGAGGTTCTACAAGCAGATTCCTACAGAGGAGACAGTCGGCGACCGCCCCGAAGTACGAGCCAAGCAAGCGAACGTTTGGGTTCCCCGTGAGCTCAGAGCATACCGCCAGCTCATGCTCAAGAACTCAACCTTTACCCCCAAACTTCTGGACAGCTTGGAGGGAAAACAAGATGCCGACAGCTTGATACCTGGGGGTTTCATAGTCTGGGTGGTCTCCGAGGGGATCTCAGGTATTCGCCTGGGAGATGAAGAGAGTGATGATATCTTCTGGTCAGTGGAGTACTGTGTCCGTGACCAAATTCGCAATTCTTTCAAAGAGAACTACCTGTAAGCTGACCTCCATATCCCTGACTATCCGATTAGTTGTTCGATAACCCGAAGACAATCACTAACTGCTCTCTCAAGAAAAATGGCTAGCTGGGGATGGCTTCCTTTTCATCGTACCTGTGAAGATCTGGTCTGGGTCCCCGAATCAACTACCCTGTAAGTTATACTAGTTTACTCCTATTCAATTCCCTCAAGCTCACCAAATCCGCCTAGGTTTTTCGTGAACTGGTTTATACCCACCGAAGTAGTCGCGCCGTGCAATTGGGAGGAGGGAATCTTGTACGGCTCTGGCCTTCTCAAGCCTCCCGCGTCCCCGACTTTCTCTATTCAGCTTTGGAATAATAGTGTTGAAGGCTGGCAGGGTTGAGGATTTTGATCGCCGTATAGGAGAAGATGTCCGGTGGGTCTGGAGACGTTTCCCAGGTGGCGATCTCAAGTCGGCGTTGACCGTGGGTTACGTTCCTATCTTAACACTAGCTACATTCGAAAAAATTATATGATTTGATTGATCATTCGCGACTCATGAGTACTATCTTGAGTAATAACATAAATTAGAAAGCCTGCAAGATATCAGGAGTCCACTGATGAATTTGGACACAGATAATGTACGATTAGTATTTGTGTAGACTGGAAAAACCAAAGTTAATCAAGCTGTAGTTCCATCTTCTAAATCAATATCTCTCACCCCTGACTAGTCTCGTGAGACATGATTCTTCGGTACTCAATTCCGAGAGATGACGTTGAAACCTACGCAATTTATGCACATCAATAATGCAGCTGACTCATCAGCACAACACCACCTCGGAACAAGGCAGCGGCATCGCATGCGCATCGCATCGCATCAACCTTATCGTCACGTTCAACACCCCAAACCGCCGCCGTCGCGCTGGCTCGCCGAGCAACATCTCTATACCCTCAACACCACCACTTGCGGCATCACACACACCGACCAGCCCAAAATGCAGGGATTCAGTACGTCCCATATACCCCTTCCCCACCCATCCACATCACCCACTAACCACCCCCAGACATGGGACGCTACGTCCCCCCAGACCTGGAAGGCCTCACAACGGGCAACAAACTCCACAACAAACACCCCCTCGGCTCACGCGCCCGCAACCTACAATCCACCGGCGCCCTAACCGTGCGCTTCGAGATGCCGTTCGCGATCTGGTGCACGACATGCCAACCGCACGAGACCATCATCGGACAAGGAGTCCGCTTCAACGCCGAGAAAAAGAAAATCGGGAATTACTACAGCACCCCGGTATACAGTTTTCGAATGAAGCACGGGGCTTGTGGCGGGTGGATCGAGATACACACGGACCCGAAGAACACGGAGTATGTGGTTATTTCGGGGGCGCGGAGGAGGGATTATGGAGTTGATGAGGAGGGGAGGAAGGTGGGGGAGATAATTACTGGGGGGGATAGTAAGGGGAAGATGGATGCGTTGGAGAGGTTAGAGGGGAAGGTGGTGGATAAGAAGCGCGGGGATGAGGAACGGGATCGGATTTTGGAGTTGCAGGAGAGACAGAAGAGGGATTGGGAGGATCCGTATGAGAAGAGTCGCAGGATTAGGAAGGTTTTTCGGGCGGAGAGGAAGGGGTTGGAGAGGAAGGAGGAGGAGAGGGAGAAGTTGAAGGATAAGTTAAGTTTGGGGATTGAGGTGGTTGATGAGATTGAGAGTGATCGGGTCAGGGCCGGGTTGGTGGATTTCGGGGAGGGTGCGGTGGATGGACGGAGGGCGAGGATGAAGCCGTTGTTCGGAGAGGAAGAGGTGCGGGCTGGTGGGGGGAAGAAGGAGGGGAAGAGGATGAAGGCTAAGGAGGTGCTGGAGGATCGAAAGGCTGCGTTTCGGAGTGAGCTGAGAGGGAATACGAGGGCTGCGGTGGATCCGTTTTTGAGTGGTGATTCCGATGCGTGGAGGCCTGAGGTTAAGAGGAGGAAGGTTGTCTCTGGAAGTAAGTCTGGTGATGGGAAGGAGAGTGCTGAAAATGGCTCGGAGATGGAGAAGAGTTCTGGGGAGGTGGGAGAGACACCCCGTCCGAGTCTTGCGTTGGTGAGCTATGCGTCGGATTCGGAGTGAACGTGTGTCTGGTGGTTCTTGCATCTCTACGAGGCGTTGCGTTAGTTTTGAAAACGGATGATACCCCGGGTTTGGAGTTATGGCATAATGGCATGTCAACTTTTTACGATTCACTTATGTATGCAAATGATATCATGCAAGGGTATAAGTACAGAAAATGCTCGATCAAGCAGGAGTAGCCAGTTATTTAGCCCAGGGTGCCTTGGTCGTTACGTCCCCTTGAGGGTCGGCAGCACCAGGAGCCGGCCCTGGGGCTGCATTTGCCCAAGGGGCCCTCGTCGGGGCCATCGGGCCGGGCGGTAGCCGGGACGTGTCGGGCAGAGTTGGTCCTCTAGCCGGACCGCGTGCTGTTGCCCAGGGTGCGGCAGTTCCGCTGGTTGGAGGGACAGCTTGAGATGTAGCCCATGGGGCTTTAGTTCCTGGACCAGATGCCTGGGGGGCTTCGGTTTGTCGAGGTTGTGGCGCGGACGACGTGTGGACGGTAGAGAGCTGAGGTATGGCGTTTGGATCTCGATCCCAGCTGAACAGAGAGCCGAACGGGAAGTGCTGTACCACGGGAAACTTGGACAGCACTTCGGCGTTGTACATCTTAATCATCCCCTGTCTCCAGTTAGTGTACGGAGTACATCTCCACCTGCACCACAAATACCTTGTTAATCTTGGCCCAGCCGGTCTTGATTCCAGAAATATCGTAGAGCATTGGACTGTGCTCCCAGAACGGGCCCTTCTTCACGTCGTAGATAAAGCCGATGGCAGAAAAGTAGAGGTTTCCACGACGTTCCCGTTCCACCACGTTCACCTTGGCAACGCCGGTCGGATCAGGCGCATCCGGCAAAGAACCTTCTTCTGGCACTCGATCCGTCTCAGATATAGCTGGAGCAAACTGCGCTGAGCCGAAAATATAGGGGATGAAAGAGTGATCATCGAGTCCCCACACGCCGTGGGAACCGGCGGGTTCCAAGGTATAGGTTTTGATAATTGTTCGCACTAGCTCAAGGTATCTAGCAATAATCAGCGTCGTTCAATCAGAGACTAGCGCTATACCCACGGCTGAATGACACCCAAAACAATGGCTCTCTCTTCGACACCAGGAGTGCTCTGTGGAAATCCATGCAACTTCCAGAGCCCAGCCAGGAAGGCCAGGAAGCTCAGTTCATGACCAGTCCCATAGTCTAGACGTTGAGGGCTTCCCCAGCTTCCCAGAAAGTATGCCTTGAGCTCTACTGCCGCCGTAGGCCCCTCGGGGTCCGCTGACTTGCGATTGAGGACCTCCGGAGAGAGACACTCCTCGAGGAGGCTGGAAGCACGGCTTTCAACAATCTCGTACCACCTCCGAAAGCTGATGTTGCCGAATCTACGGGGGCCTTTATCGGGGGGAGCTTCCTCGAGAATAGCTTCTAGCTTGGAGAGCAGCTGCTGGAGTTGGCGAACCGGCGCGGAGTACTCCACAGCATCAGAGTTCAAGGGCCAAGTCTGAACGCGCCCATCCTCAAGCTTGGCTGGATACATTGACCGGTTGAGCTGGAGGAGGAATGTCATAAGGTCGACATAAGCTTTAGAACACAGAAATTCGGAGACATCGCTGTGCTCGTGGATGCGTTTGGTGGGCTCGGCGAATGTGTGCCCCACCGCGGGGTCGAGGGTGGGCAACACACGGACTGAAGGGAGGTCCGCCGCCATGATGTAGCTAAGCGCGTGCGAAAGGAATTGGATAGATGGTATCCAAACGAGTGTGGAAGCAGGTGGAGAGAAAAGGGAAATGAAGGATGGTGGGGGGGAGGAAGGAGGAAGGTTGGCTCGCAATCTGGCAGGGGGCGGGGCCTTATCGATAAGGCGGCCAAGTGATGACGCCCGCCGATCACGGGAAGCAACTCGCGATCCAAGCTTCCCACCAACCAGCTCCTTCGCCGCCGTCCCTGATCCCCGACGGGCTTGACAGCTCCAGTTAGGTCCAGTTAGGTCTAGTTATTGTTTTCCAGGGGGGCTGGTATGCTTTGCTTTGCTTTGCTGCTGTCTCTGCATTTCATGGGCGTTCAATATGTCGGACTCGCCGCGTCCTGTGCAGCGGAGGAAGAAGCGCGATTCCACCCTGCAGGCGGTCGACCTTCTGAATGGCCTCATGGATACTAACACGCAGAGGACTGCGTCCGGGGCGAATCGACCCAGTCCCGCCACCCCGCATCCCTCGCGTCGGCTCACGTACTCTGTCAGGAGAGATGCTACCGACATGATTGATGAGGTTGGTCCGGTCTCTCAAACTGTCCCCCAACGGCCAAGACACGCCCACCCGATTGAAGTCACTCCCCGTCGGTCATTAAGGTTCTCGAAACCCGTGCCTGATGGATCCACTCGGGATGGGAGCGATCAAATGTTGCAGCCTCCCAAAAGCCCAGAATCCAAGCACGAGTCTGGCGATCAGTCGAATGAGCCAGGTGAGGTGCAGTCTTTAGAAAAGGCAGAAGAGGGTTTCGGGGATGTCACTCACGTAGTTTCCCCACGCCCAAGTTCCGAAGAATACTCGTCAAGCGACGCTGAACGTGATAATGAAGGCGATCATATATCGTCCCAGAATGACGAAGAGATGCTTGATGGCGAAGATCTGGCATCAGAAGTGGAACTTTTCTCAAACAATGATGGAGACGCCCACCAGTCTACCAGCCGGCCTAGCCTGTCGCCATCTTCCAGCCAGGAGACTCCTGGTCGTAAACCCAAGACACAGTCTGGCAGCGACGAAACTTCAGAGCCAACATTAGTAGAATCAAATGAGGATACGAGCAACGTTCAGTGGAGAGATGCATCCGAACAGCCGGCCGATAGGCGAGACTCCAGCCGCAGTGATGCTTCAGCGACAAAGGGACTTCCCACAATTGCGGTTGAGATAAGTACAGCAACGCCTTTGTCATCTAATATCTCAAAAACGGTGGACCATCAAGCGGATGGGCCATCGAGGGATAATGAAACGCGAACACTGGAACAAGAAGCCAATATTTTCGGCACCACACAGCACAAAGACCCACCATACCAGCCATCAGAGGCATCCTCATCATCGGTGCCTTCTCCTGAACCTAGCTCATCCAAGGATGACCTTCAGCATCATTTTGCGGAAGCAAGTCCGCGGTCTTCAGACCCACCACGGCAATCCACGAAACGGAGACACTCGACTACGAGCTCACAGGGTACGGCCAGAGTAAAGAACATAGAGCCCGAACACCCAACGTCCACTGCTCATCAGCAGGCCGGCTCCTTTATTCCCAGAGAGAGTCCCGCCGATAATCCCCAGCGCTCCCGTGAAGCTAGCCACCGTGGGGAACGACATGCTACGGAAGTTGCTTCCCCGGGAGTCATAGCCAGGTCTGCCACCCAGGACGGACCTACCCAAGAGAACCCGGATCAGCAGAGTCATGGGGCTGAACGCCCCGAAGATAGCGCGTGGTTCAAGGAAGCTTCTGAACTTGACAGCCAGGGCTCCAATTGGAAAAAGCTCATCCAGAGCATGCACCCTCGAAACATAGCTTTCAATGCCAAAAGAGTTGACATTGAGTTTGAGCCTCTGAAGTGTGAATTATCCTCCCTTATCCAGGCCTACAAAGGGATTATCGAGTACTTGGCGTCTGATATTGGACCGCCAGAGTATGACGTGCGCAGCTGCAGCTCGATGCTTGAAACGGTTGACAGACAAGGACGCCGTCAACTGGAGAAGGCTTACACACTCTCGACTCAAGGGGATGAGGCGGGAGGCAGGGCACTGGTGGAAGAATTTGAGATCCAAATCTTCCCGCTGTTAGTGCGGCTGGTTCTCGTCTGTTTTGAAGCTTACTACGTGGATCATCGACTCTTCCCGGAAGCATACGGCCATTTTCAGCATGCCATGAAAGTACTGCTAGGGCGATGCAATCAGATCGGTGGTCTTGTTCGGGGGAAATATGTGGCGTGCCGGGCCGTCAGCCCGGGCTTGCGTCTGCCCCTGAAGCGACTCCTTGAATCGCTTGAAAACGGGCGCCTGAGAAAGGGCCACCGACGGAATGATGTGGAGGTTGATAGGCATGCGAAGGCGCCGACAAGAACTGCTAAGCAGGGCCAGTCAAAACCGACGAAGCCGACCACTCCGGCACAGGCTTGGACAGATGAAGAGGGCTACGCTCTTGTCGAGGGTTTGCAACGATTCCAGGGTAAGTTTCAAGCTCATCTGCTTGGCAGGAAGGAAGGCGCAGCGCGGCATGCTCACAAGATGCATCTAGGCCCGGACCGCTACTATCAAATCTGTGAGTTCTACCACGATGGCATCGGTCAACGCGGGGAGAGGGAAGTGCGTGAACAAAGCGAAAGACTGTGTCACCAAATGCTCCCGCAAATCCGGGAAATGGCGCGGAGGGGCGAAGACCACTGGGATTGGGGGTGGTTGTTGAAGGTGGTGGAGTGAGGATGGAAAATATATTTATGTTGGCTGCGGTAATGATATTTTTGAGCGCAGTCGTGTCATATACCCCGGGAGTTCTTGGTTTTTCTCCCTTTTTAGTACTAGGTATTAGTCTTAGCGATTGCTGCCAGGGTACTCTAATTGCGTGAATGAAATTGGAATGTGATTGTCAGTCTACGTGGACGGAACCATGGAACCAACAACGGGCATTGTTTATTCTACGGCCGGTTTAGGGGGGACAACACGCGGAGGCCCCAGCAATAGCAACCATGGGATCAACCTAGCTGGGAGACGCCAACCGTGGCCAGCAGCAGCAACAACAGCTGCAAGTACTGAGCTGGTAGTGAAAAGGAGCGCAGTGGTCTGAACGCGAGACGAACACCCGATGGTAGATCGCTAGACCAGAGATAGTGAGGATAGTGAGTGGGAATAATATTGAGGTGACAGGCAATAGATCAGTTGACCTCCTGACTGACCGCCCAATTCCATGCCTGAGGCCAATAGGGTGGGTTCTCTCCATTCTTCCCTTCTTTCCGCCTTTCCCCCCCCTCCTCTCTCTCTCTCCCTCTCCTCCGGTTCGACTATTCCCTACCCTTTTCCCTCCCCCAAAATTTACTAGAGACACTAAACTTACTCCCCTTTCTCCTCTTCCTCTCTCCTCTTCTTTTTCTCTCTCTCCTCCCATCTTCTTGTGTCTTTCTTACTCTCTTACCTCTCTGTATTTGTTTTCCCTCCCTGCTTTTTTTTCTTGTTTACTTAACATTTTGTAATTCTTTAATCCCCCCTCTCTCCCCGCTACCCCCTTTTCTAATCCGGCCCGTTGTTGGTTTTCTGGTTCCCTCCCGGCAGTTCCTGGTGAGTGACTACTGCTACTACTACTTACTACGGAACCCCAACTGTTTTGATCTGCACACCTTCCGGGGTCCTGCAAGAACCATGCCACCGTGCCTCTTTGCTCCCCCTCAAACCCTCTACTTCTGTCGTCCACCCCCCAAGCTGCCTGCAATTATCCTCTGCACTTTTCTCTGCCATTGAGACTCCCCAACAGTCCTGTGTTGCGTGATCCTCTCCGTTGCGCCGTGGTCTGCGGAGTTGCCAGAAAAAAAGGAGACCCGCTTCGGCTATTCCGTCGCAGCTTCCCTCCACGAGGCCAACTTTCTGAAAGTGCTTTTTTTTCCTCCCCAGGAGACCTTCTTTACATCGTCTTGCCCCCTTTACCTGTTGCTCTTTCTTTTGGTTGCAACATCCCAATATCTATTGATCTCGCACCAACGCTTCCCCCGCCCCCTCCATCTTGGGGATCTTGCATACGTCTTTGCTTCTGCTCGTCGGATCAGCTAACGTGGACGCTCCCAATTCGTTAGACTGCCTCGTTAAGTTTAAACCACGCCGAACGCTGCGAACCTTCCTCCCTCCTACACACCAATCTCAGACGAACTCCTTCTCCACAGCATGGCGTCCACAGAGGAACCTGTCACCCCAGTTGCTCCTGCGGAGGTGGAGCCGGAGATCGTGCCCCCTGCGACTCCGGTCGATTCGACCATCCTCTCGGGCAGCGAGGAGCCAGTCACGAGCCCGGATGTCTCCAAGGACAAGGAGAACGTCAAGGCCTCTCCGGTCAAGAAAAGTCCCTCCTCCACGACCAGCACTAGGCGTCCCTTGTCCGGATCGACCACCACCACCACCACCACCACCACCACCAAGCGTCCCACTTCCATGTCCGGGCCTTCCAGAACTACAACTTCGGCCACACGCTCCGCCGCGACCAATGGCAGCACCCTGAACAGGCCTCCGACCCGGCCCGCGACTACCACCACGGTCCGCAAGCCCCTGAGCTCTACCACCACCACCACAGCCGGCCATCGGTCGCGCGCCTCCGTCAGCAGCTCCGCAGATGAAAAGTCCCACCGGTCGGTGGCCAGCTCCGGAGATGAGAAGCGAGGCATCTCCAGCACAGCCGCCAAGCGCATGTCGCTGGTTGGTACCTCGGCCACGAGAGCACCCGTCAAGTCCACTACTTCCACTCTGGACCGACGTTCCAGCATTGCGGGCTCGACTACGGCGGAGAAGAGAACATCTACCATTCGCCCTAGCACGGCCTCCACGGTGCGACCCCTGACCAAGCCGGCGACCACCACCTCGACTTCTCGTCCAACTACTTCCTCCTCCGCTACTACTCGTACGACCACCAGGCCCACGTCTACGGTGACGAGGCCAGCGACGACCGCCTCCAAGAGGTTGAGCACCGCCCCCAAGGGTGCCGAGGAAGACTCGGAGAAGTTGCAGTCACTTCAGACCAAGCTGGCCGAGAGCGAAGCCACGGTGACTAGCCTGAAGGCGGATTTGGATGCAGTCAACCTCAAACTGACGGAGCTGTCTCTGGCCCCGAACGATTCCTCCGAGAATGCCGATGAGGCCACCAAGGCGCTCCGTGAGCAGCATACTGCCGAAATCGAACAGCTGACGGCTGCCCATCAGGAGCAGCTGCAGGCGTTGCGTGCCCAGTTGGAGGATGTCGAGGCGAAGCACAAGGAGCTGGAGGAGAAGTCGGTTAAGGAGTTGGATGACGCCGCCAAGTCCGCTGCGGCTCAGGGTGATGACCAGACTGCTGCGGCCCTGGAGGAACTGAAGCAGTCGCACCAAGCCCAACTGGAAGCGCTGGAGAAGGATCTCGCCGAGCAGAAGGCAGCAGCTGCCGGATATGCCGAGCAAGTCGACTCTTTGAAGGCCGAGCTTGACCTGCAGAAAGGCCAGCTGACCGAGGCGAGTGCCAACCTGGACAAGACCCTTGCGAAACTGGAAGATCTCCAGCGCGAGCTCAATGGACGTGACCAGGTGGTCGAAAACCTGCACATGGAAATGGACCGGCTGGACCAAGCCAAGCAGCAGGAGATTCGGGCCGCCGAGGAGGCTGCCAAGCATGCCATTCTAGCCCTGGAGGACAAGGTGACATCGCTCGAAAGCCAGCTTGCCGCTGCGGGTTCTGCGACCAGCGAAGGTAACGAAGAGACAGCCGCCCGCTTGGCCGAGAAAGACCAGGAGATTGCCGACCTCAAGGACGCGTTGGAGAAGGCGCACGTGGAACTGGAGCAGGGCCGCCAGGATGCGGAAGCCCAGATCGCAGAGAAGACCAAGGAGCTGGAGGCCGCTCATGAGGCCGCCGTTGCTCAGCTCAGGGCCGAACATGAGGAGGCCCTGGCTGCCGCTGTTGAGGGCAAGGTTGGCGACAAGGTCAAGGAGCTTGAAGCTGCTCATGAGGCTGCAATTGCGGAACTGAAAGCCGCCCATGAGCAAGCCCTCTCCGCGGCCGCTGAAAGTGGACTGGGCGACAAGGTCAAGGAGTTGGAAGGCACCCACGAGGCCGCCATTGCCCAACTCAAGGCTGAACATGAACAGGCCCTGACTGCGGCGATCGAGAGCAAGGTTGGCGAGAAGCAGAAGGAGCTCGAAGCCGCTCACGAGGCCACGATTGCGGATCTCAAGGCTAGTCACGAACAGGCACTTTCTGCGGCTGCTGAGAACGGGCTTGGCGACAAGGTCAAGGAGCTGGAAGCATCTCACGAGGCCGCCATTGCCCAGTTGAAGGCTGCCCATGAGGAGGCATTGGCTACTGCTGCTGCAGCTCACGCGCAGGAACTCGCCGCTGCGAAGGAGGCCGCTGAGTCCGCTGGAACCTCTCACTCCCAGCAACTCGAGGAACTCCGTGCGAAGCTCGAGGAGGCCGAGTCCGCTGCTGCCGAGGACAAGGAGGAGCTGATTGCCGAGCTGGATGCTGCCCACCAAGCCGAGATGCATGCTCTGAACCAGAGACTAGAGGCTACCGAGCAAAACCTTGCGGAGGCCCGCCAAGCTCTCGAGAACGGCAACAGCTCTGCTCAGGACGTTGCCATTCAGGAGATCGAGTCCCTCAAGGAGAAGGTTGGGGCTCTGGAGTCCCAGCTCTCCACCGGACAGGGCGAGATCAAGTCTCTACAGGACGAGATCCAGAGCAAGCAAGGGCAGGCGGAGGCGCTGCAGCAGAGCCTGGATGCCTTCGAGGACAAGACCAAGGCCAAGGATGCTGAGCAGGAAAGCCAGCTCAAGTCTTTGGAAGAGAAGGCCGCCGTTGCCGGCCGGGAGCTGGAGGAGAAGGTCAAGGAAGCCGCTGTTGTTGCCGAGCAGCACGCACAGGCGCTCGAGTCCCTGAAGGCCGAGCACGCCGTCGCACTCGAGAATGTCAAGACCAATGCTAGCGGTTCCCACGAGCAGGCGCTTAGCGAGCTGCAGGCCAAGTATGAGGCGTCCATGTCCACCCTTCGTGACATGGAGTCCAAGCACGCTGAGCATATCGAGTCTCTTGAGGCCGAGCTCCGGTCCGCTCTTCAGCGCCATGCCCAGGAGATCGCGGAGCATACCGAGACCCGTGCTAAGGAGGTTGCCGAGCTTCAGCAGCAGCATGAAGAGGCCAAAGCCCAGTTCCAGGCTGAACTGCAATCCCTCCAGACGTCTCGGTCCGCTGAAACTGATGCTGAGCACAGCAAGGCGATCGAACAGCTCCTGACCATTCAAGAAGAGAAGCTTTCTGGCCTTCGGGCTGATCTAGAGGCCACCAACCAGGCCAAGATCGAGGAGCTTCAGAAGACTCACGACGCCGCCCTTGCGGAGGTCCACGCCCAGCTGGCCGAAGCTCACGCCGCCGCTCAGGATGTTTCGGTCCTTGAGAGTCTGAAGCTGACCATTGCTGATCTGGAGAAGAAGCTGAACGAAGCCGAGCAGTCTGCTGCGGAATCCAAGGAGCTCGCGGGCAAGCACAACGCCGATCTCTCTTCCATCCTTACCGAGAAGAACGAGTTGGAGCAGCAACACCAGGCCGTGAGCAGCCGGGTGGCGGAGCTCGAGCAGTCCCTTGCTGCTTCGGAGAGCGCCAAGTCGGAGCTGGAAGCTGTCCTGCAACAACTGGCCGCGTCCAAGGACGAATTGTCCAACCTGAAGAGCCAGCACGAAACCCTGTCGAGTGAACTCCAGACGTGCAAGACGGAGAATCGGGCCATGGAGGAGAAGTTGGAGCAAGGCGAGCGCGATCTGAACAGCCAGATTGACAAGAACATGTCCCTCCTCAACCAGCTGGGCGAGGTGGACTCGTCGATCGCGGCCAACCGCAAGCGGGTGCGCGAATTGGAGGCCGAAGTCGCGGCATTGAAGGCCGAGAAGGATACGCAGGGCGGATCGGTCGGGCTGGAGGGTAGCCGCTGGGCGGGCGAGAAGGAGGAGGCCGCGGAAGGTGAGGATCTTGGCTCATCCATCCAGGGAACGGTGGGACTGCCCCGTTTAACTTTGTCCTCTACCACAGGACTTCCCCACTTTCATCCCTTTACCTGACAACGGCCCGTTCCCTGACCCGGCATGGTTACTGACTGGCATGGTTTTGGTAGATGGCAAGCATTCAGGAACAGCTTAAGCACATCCGGACGTCCAACGATGACTGGTATGACGAACACCGACGGTAAGACCCCTCCCTATGGCATGTGGGGAGGGCTTCGATTACTGACTCTGTCTTAGAATCCTAGGCGAACTGGCGGAAATGTCGCGTCGGGCCACGCCTAACCCACCCAGTCAGTCTACGACGCCGCAGCCGGAGAAGGCGAGCAGTGCGTCGGAGCAGGGTGCGGACGAGGGATCCTCGTGAAGGAATGTTGCATGACCAGTGGTGAGACTATGAATAGAGGGGACGAAGATTTCCTTTGTCGCGGCATTTTTCCTTTGTTGTATCGGCATAGGCTGTATGTAATAAGATGCTCGGGATACCCCTGTGTGCGCGTTTCTTGTGATTGCAACCGACGGGTGCATCGACATCCCTTGCGGCCATTTCTGGGGATCCCATTGGGCTAGCGACGTTGCACGAATTTATTGATTGATTCTTGTCTTATGCAGTGCAGCGTGGAATTAGTCTAATTGTAGTCGGGATTGGCAGCCCTGCTGGTTCGGCGGCGCATGCGCGTCCACCCCACCCGGAGTGCAGTCCACCACGCATGTCGCTGATCCTCGTGGTGCTCCTGCTTCCCATGCTGAGGTTGTCTCGCCGCCCGTCGCGACTGTTCATATCGAGCCGGCGTGAGGATCCTCGCGGGGGGAGACACCCGCAGCGGTACATCTTCAGCATTGCTGCCACTATCCTGCTCCTCCTCATCCGACTCCCGTAACCAATGTAGAATCTCCCTTTGATCATCACTGCACGGAATAGCCCTGTCCCCATCACCATTTTCCTTTGTTTCTTCCTCCTTTGTATCCACCACACATTGTCCCCCTCCCCCTACACCCTCCTTCCCCCTACACCTCTCCTCCAAACACCCCTTCTCCCCCTTAATCACAATCTCCTTCACCGGCCGAACACCCTTATCTCCATATTCCTCCCCCTCCTTTTCCTCCTGATACAGGAAACTCTCCTCCGTCCGCCCCTCCGTAAACGCCTCACAATACTCCGCATACGAACTCGTCAGCTGCTCATGCGATACAGTCGGCGGGGGGATATGTATCTCCGATGCCGATGACGATGAATATGTCGATGATGATGATGACGATTCCTCGATGGTTTTGGATCGTGGAGATAGGTTGAATAGTGTACTGAAGTTGAGACTTAGGGGTGAGAGGGGGGAGAGGGGAGAGCGTGCGCGGATTTTGTTATTGGTAGTGCTTGAGGGGGAGGTAGGGCTTGTGGGTGGGGGTGTGATTGGGTTGGTAGTATCTGTTGGATGGGCTGTGGGTGTGCCTGTGTTGGTAGTGGTGTTTATGGATGTAAGTAGCGATGTAGGTTGTGTATCGTCATCAGGATGGATTATTGTTCTCGTCTTGGTTTTGGATTTGGAGGAGCGGCGCGGGAGGGTTACTCTTCGGTAGAGACGGGTTGTTGTTGATGTTGATGTTGATGTACTGGTGGTGGTGTTAATGGTGGGTTTTGGGGTAGGTCTGCGGGTTGGTTTTGGGCGTGGGGAGGAGGAGCGGCGGCGGCGGCGATGGGATGATGAGGTTGAGGTTGAGAAGGTGAGCCAGCGGCGGAGGGTGGTTGTTTTATTCTTTGGAGTTGTTGTGGTTGTGGTGTTGGGGAGGTCGTCTTTGAAGGTGACGGTTGCCATTGTTGATAGTATGAATGTAATCAATAGGATTGATTAGGGTAGAGAATGGCTATGTATGTGTTATGGTGAGAGGAGGAAGTAGAGAAAGAAAGAAAGAAGAAAGAAGTTATCAAGGGATAAAGAAAGATAATATGGTAGTAGTTAGTTGAGATTTCATCCAAGGAGTCAGACCCAGTCATTCAGGTCAGCCACCAAGCAAACAAAGCAATCATGTACGTACGTATTCCTAGCCAAGCCAAGCATCAAGGATTTCATTTACCTCGTGATATCGCCAATATTAGCATAGCAGCACTACAGTATTCTCAGTGGCTAGGGTTAGAAGGGAGTTAAATAAGAGTCTAGACTGGTTGATCTCCCGACAGGGATAAAGAACAGATGCCTAAATCAAGGGCAAAACCGGGTTATCATATACCCTAATAGAAAGTCAGCAGCACCACCTTGCTTTCTATCCCGCCAATCGCAGGGGCTGGCATGCTGCAGTTTGTCTTGGTAGGTTTCATCCCGCCTCCCCCTCTTTCATTAACTGGGGGTGCAGGTGCAGGTAGGCAGAGGATGCATCTCACATGCAGAAAGCATTAACGGTGCGAGATCAAGGTCGTACTGGCGCTGCGTTTGTGCCACGGCGGCATAGTTACCGGCATATTGTAGGCTGGGCTCGCGTGGCATACCGTTGTATGTATTGTTGTAGTGCGGTGAAGATAAACTAGGTTGATCATTGCTGAAATATCATTACAGGGATATCTATTGCCTATGTCACTTGTAACTGAATAGTATACATACACACATGACCAATAAAATTACTCAGAGACACCATCGCGTCCCAATCCCCAGCGACCCACCTCCCGCATAGCTTCGTCGCCGCCTTCGACAAGTCGGCCATCAGCGTTGGCGGGATGGGCGCTGCCCAGCACGCCCGCCACGCAGTTCCAGCCGTTGCGGCCACCGCCCCAGCGCAGCACTTCATTCTTGTACCGCTCTCCGGCCCGACGATCCACCGCCGCCTTGCCCTGCTGGAACACGTCCTCCCACAGCTTGTTGGCGATCGCCCGGTCGAAGATGTAGCTGTAGTAGGTGGCGCCGTAGCCGTGCAGGTGGCCGAAGAAGCCCTGCCACGAGGTCGGGGGCTTGGTGTCGGTCGGATCGGGGAGTGTGCAGTGCTCCGCAGAGACCTGGTGGAAGACTGCCGTGCTGTCAATGGAGGCGGCCTGGCCGGCAGGGAGGGAGTGGTATGCCTGGTCGACCAGCGCCATCAGGATCTGCGACTCGTTCTCCATCGCGCCGTAGATCGACCCGTGCGCCGTGCGGTCCTTCTCCATGTGCTGCATCATGCTCTCCGACAGAGGGGCATCTGTCTCCCAGTGACGGGCGTACAATGCCAGCACTTCGGGAGCGGTTGCGAACCGTTCCATCAGCACCGACGGCAGCTCGGCAAAGTCGGTCGCGCATCTCGTTCCAGAGATAGACTGCAGCCGCGTCTGCCCCAGAATCGAGTGCAGCGCGTGTCCCATTTCGTGGAACAGGGTACGCACGCTGTGCTCGCTGAGCAGGGACGGGCGGCCCGTTCCTGTCGCAGGCGGCTCCGGGAAGTCGCACACCAGCGCGATCGTCGGCAGCTGGCGGAGCGTCTTGGCGTCGCGGTCAACGGCCGTGGCCATGCCATCGTTGGGGTGGGCGGAAGCATCCATCGTCGTGGCGCACTCGGCCACCTCCTCCGCGGAGATCTCACGTGCACACCGCAGCGTGTAGTGGGCCGGGTTGGGGTGCTTGTTGGGGCGGGAGAACAGGTCACAGTAGATGACAGCAATGTGGCGGTCCGCCTCGTCGACCACGTCCAATCGGCGCACATCCGAGTTCCAGGTCTCCCCGGCAGCCGTTTCCTGGGGCACCAGCCGAACACCGTAGAGTCGATCGAACAGCCGAGAGAGTCCCTGCATGACCGTGCCCAGGGAGAAGAACTCGGGCACCGCACTGAGCTCCCGCGACCGGCGCGACTGCGAGTACTGCAGTACCCGTTGATGGACATAGTAGGCGTGATCCCATGGTTGCAACCGACCAGCGGATCCCTTCATGCTCTGCAGCTGCGCCAGCTCCTCCTGCACGTAGGGTCGGTTACTGCCCACCAGCGAGGTCAAAAAGTTAGACACAGCCTCAGGGGACTTGGCCATCTTGTCGCTCAGCGTCATGTGAGCGAAGCTATCGTAGCCCGAGAGTTGTGCCAGCTCGGCGCGCTTGGCCAACAGCTGCTCGAGCCGCTGGATCTGGCGGGCGCTCGACGTGCGTGTAGCCAAGTAGACCTCCCGCCGCACGCCCTCGTCGTGGACGGACCGCAGCGCCAGGCGCGGAATCAGGCCCATGCTGGGCACGGAGGCTGTCCGGTTCCACCGCTTGATCTGCTGCACGAGGATGGGGTCGAGGCCGCGCAGGCTGTTGGCGCTCACGGTCACGTGCGACTTGGCCGGCTCGGCGGCGTTGACAAAAGTATTCCCCAGTTGGCTGATATCATTGGACAGGTTGACGAAACGCTGTCGCGCATGCGGGGGCATGTGGATGGCCGAGTTGGAAAAGTCCTTGATGAGGATCTGAGCGACGATCTTCTCCTCGTCGGACCAACGGGCCGTAACCTCGGGATTGGCGGCGGCCTTCTTCAGCTGGTCGTTGAGGCCGGTAGTCGTATTCAAGACGTTCATGTACTCGAACATGAGGGCGTACGCCTGCGTCGCGGCCTCCTGCACGCGCGGATCGGGATGGATGACTCGGATGAAGTCCGATAGGTCGATGACTCGACACAGCAAGTCGCTGAGGCGGTCGAGATCGCGGGCCATACTCCGGTAATCCTCCAGCGTTGTACCGGCCAGCACCTTGGCCACGATAGCCTGGCACTTCTGCAGGGTGGTGGTCGCAAAGACGCGGAAACCATCGGGACTGGTCAGGTACTGATTTTGGACTAGACCGGTAGGTTTGAGGTGGGCAGCACTGCGCTGGCTGAATTCGCGCCAGAACGGCTGCGAGTCGAAGACGCGGCGCAGAGTGTCGTCATCGGATTTCTTTTGGGCATCGTTCTTACTCGGAAGGTAATCGAAGGCTGTGCGATGAGTCGCCGGCGAGGCGGCCGTCTCGAGCGAGCGACGGGCCTGCAGCAGACAGGTCCTGCAAGTCCACGGCCGACGCCGGAGTGGGAGCAGCAGAGGAGCTCCCATGATGGCGTTCAGGGGGAGACAGTGGGAAAGGAAGTCGACATGGAGATTATACCATGAGTAGAATAAATAACGGTAGAAATTAAACCACACGAGACGGTGGTGGAAGATTAAAAGGAGAGTGAGGGGAAAGTTAAGAGAGAGAGGGAGGAGAGAAAGAGAAGCGGACGATGACGGAGGCTCGAGCCGCAAAGCCGCCAAACTCACGAAAAAAAAGGCTTGGCGGCCGACCTCAGGCCGTCATTCCAACCTCCAACTTAGCCTCTCTCTCTTCCACCTCCCTCCCTCACTTCTTCCCTCCATTGGCCTCCCCCATTATGTCTTTCCGGCCAATGCTGAAGCAGGTAAATCCCTCAGCTCCTGTTTCTTCCGTCTGCAACTTGAAGAAGTTTCCGCTAACTCCTTCCAGCGGGCTGTGGCCCCCATCGCGGCCACCCTTCTGGCTGGCGGTATCGCCCTCTACCCCCGGCAGACGGCTTTTGCAGAGGAGCCTCGCGATGCTGTACGTGCTCGGAATATCCCTGCTTGCTTTCGCTCGAATCCGCTTCTGACTTGCTATCGCGTCCAGAAAAAACCCATCTACGATGACTTCCCGACCGAGATCCCGGCCGTCTCCAAGCCCGTCGTCTCCCCGGCTCCGACCACCACCACCCCGGCAGCTCCGGTGTCCACTCCCTTCTCCTCTCCCTCTTCCCCTACTCCCACCGACATCCTGACCGCCCAGGTCCGTCAGGCCCGTCTCTTCCTGTACGAGAACTCCCTGGCCGTCGAGACTAAGTTCAACAACTTCCTGTCGCGTGCCCTGCACATCGAAAACGCCTTCACCAACACCGTCGCCTCCCTGGCCCCGTCGCCCGAGTCCGGTGAACGCCTGCTCCCCGGCGGAGTCTACGTCGTTGTGGCTGCCATGGCCGGTTCCATCGTGTCGCGGAACCGCGGTATCCTCCTGCGCACGGCGTCCCCGCTGGCCTTCGGTACCGTGGCTGCCTGGACCCTGCTGCCCGTGACCATGCGCAACGTGTCGGATCTGGTCTGGGAGTACGAGAAGCAGGTGCCGGCTGTGGCGGACACGCATCTGCAGGTGCGCGAGAAGGCTGAGCACCTGTGGTACACGGGGATTGCGCACAGCGGTATGGCGCGGGCCATGATGGAGGAGAAGATCGGAGATGTGCGGAAGAAGTTGGAGGAGGTGGTGAGCAAGGGTCATTAAATTGGCCTCTGTGTCAGTGTTTTAGAATGGGTTGATTTGATCTAGTTCTTGCATATGTACTTTAAGTAGACGAATGAGCGTTTACTATGCAGTTTCAGGAGACAGAGTAAGGTAAAGCACTGTTTACACTGGATTACGTTCATTGTTCCTTATTTCATATCAAAGTGGGTATTACTTATGTGTGATTATTCAAACCGAGTCTAGTACCATCAGATGTGCTCAATTTAGTACTGAACCAGTACTACTGCTATAACCGAACAATATGCCAAGAAACAACCAAGTAGTATACTAGTGGTAGTATATTGATCGACATCATATATTTTGATACTATCATACTAGACATATACTAACATCACTCATAACCCATCACCTCATTAAAGTATCATACCACACCCGCACAACCTCATCCATCAAAATCCCTAACATCCACAAAACACACTTACACACTCTCCGCCCTACTACTCTCCTCCACCTCCCCCTTCTCCACCCACATCTCATCTCCCTTCTTCTCTTCCTTCTTCCCTCCAACCATCATCAACCCACACCTAAAGTAACAAAATTAGCCAACAACCCAACAAACCCATCCGAATCACAGATTCCAACTTACAAAACCGCTGCTCCAATCCAACCAACCCACCCCACTACCAAACCCGGCAACCCCCCTCCCATCATCCCTATAAACCAGACTCTCCTCGCCCAGACTCTCATCTAAATAGACAGTAACACGCGGGCCCACGTCCCCAAAGGACATCTTTCTGGTAGCCAGGATGACCGTGAAGGCGAGGAGACTTGTCGTGAGAAGGAGGGTTGCGAGGGATGTAAGTGCCTTTTGGATCCATGAGGGGTTGCTGCTGTTGCTGCCGTTTGACTTTGTGAAGAATCTAGGGAAGAGGAAGTAGATCGTGATGAATGTGAGGCAGGTCAGGATCGTCGTGAAGATATGGTAGGATGTTGTGGCGATGATGGCGGTGTCGTGGATGATGACCTTGGGCACGAGGGATGTAGCGGTGTGCGCGAGGTGGAGGTAGGTCGTTAGGGTGTAGGTTGTTAGGGAAAAGGAGGTGAGGAGGAGGAGGGTGGTGAGGAGGGATGTGAGTGTGGTTGGGAGGTGGGGAGGGGACATTGTGGTTATGTGTGTGTGTGGGTTGATGCTGTCGATGGGGTTGGATGGGTGTAGTTGAGGGGGAAGATGGGTTGATATTTATCCTATGGTGTTTCTCTACTAGTTGGTCTGGATGGTTGGTGGAAGTAGTCTAAGCTACAGACATCGGAAATTTATCAGTGGTTGATCAGGGTCTTGTTAGGACCGGTGCACCAAATTGAGCTTACGGTGGTGATGGTGGACGAAGATGGGAGAGGAGAGAGAGGAGAGAGTCAAAGAGACTAGTATGTTTTGAGGGGGAGTTTGCGAGTATTCGGATGCTCGGGCGTATGATTGGCCAATACCCATAGAGGAGTAGAGTGCCGAACCCGTGAAGAGGATGACAATGGTGGGAGATTGCTATCTTATCGATCTTATTCGTTTAGGGTATGATTAATTGTTTGTGTTGGATTGGCTTACTGGTAGATATCGACATATGCATTTGTCAAGATAATCAGGCTGGCACCCACCGCAACTGTACCTCCCGGAGCTCCCTCACCTGCAGCGTCAACTTTGATATCGAGTCCTCCATCTGCTGCTGCAGTTTTCCTTTCTGCATCGGCTCGCACCGCGCGTGCCGGAACAGCGTCGCCATCGTCCCCACAAATTCCACCTCCGACATCTTCATGCCCGGACATATTCTGGGCCCTCCCGACCACGGAATGAACGTGCCCTTCGCCGGGGTCACCACTTGACCGGCGTCGTCGATCCACCGCGTGGGCCGGAACTCATCCACGTCCGTTCCCCAGACATTTGGGTCCCGGTGGATGCTCTGCTGCGAGATAAACACGTCCATCGGGGGCATCAGCACGTGTGTGCCGTCCGCATCGGCGATCTGCTGCGTCGTGGCCACACAGCGTGTGGAGTGGAGAACAGGTGTGAAGAGACGGAGGGTTTCATACTGACAGGGTTAGCAGTTATTCCTTACTGCTCTATATTGAATCACATACCATGACAGCCAGCATTCGTGGGCATTGAGCAAACACATCGTATCCCCAAGACGAAACATCGGCGTCCAACTGAGACAACTCCTCCCGCACCCAGTCCTGCCACTGGGGATACTGTGCGAGGAACATCACAGCATATCCCATTGTGTTGGCTGTCGTGTCGAAGCCAGCGGCGGTAAAGAGAAAGAGATTGCCGCTGATTTCTGCCTCTGACAGAAACAGCTTCGCAGAGCTCTCCGTTCCATGTTGCGCATATCGCACCAGCATATCTAGCAGATTGTGGCGCTTTTTAGGCACCTCACTCGATTTAGTGTTGCGCTCCTCGCCCAAAATCTCTCTGACATATTCCGGCACCTTTAACATCTGGCGACCCAGTTGACGAATCGACTCGGGCATGAATGGCATCACTTTCAGCGAGTTTGGGATTAAGACCGCCTCCACGAACCGGTCCGTGACCATAGCAATCGTCTTGAAGTACGAGACTCTGGCGTCCTGCCAGTCCTGCCCCAGAGTCTCGACAAAGTCAGGTGACCATGGCTGGTTCTGTCCGTACCCAGCTTGGCCGAGAACGTTGATGGCGATACTACGAAGCCCGGTCAAGGTCTCGCCGCCAGGATGCTGCAGGAGATACTCAAGCATAGCACGGGCCTGGCGACAGGCCTCTTCCCACACCTCACCCATGATGGCTTCGTTGAGCTGGGGAGCGATGATGCGCCTCTGGCGTTTCCAGTCTTCACCATTGGATTGAATTAAGGTTGGTCCGAAAAAGCCCATGAATTTGGCTACGACGTCGGGCTGGTCGAAATCCTTGCGTCGCTGCAAGACGGTTGCGCCTACGGTCGGGTCGGCGATCCTATATGGGAGTCAGAACGATGTCAAAACAAATGTACAAGGGAACGATGGACTACCATAGTGAGCACTCATCAGGCGAGACAATAACAAAAATCTTGCCATAACGACGATGCATAGCATTCTTGTGACGAAACTCCCAGCCGTGGATGTGGATGTCCAGATGTTCGTAGAGCCATGTGGGAAAATAGCGCTTCAGCTGTACTTGAAAGGTCGGACCCACGATCTGCCAGAGCGAGTGGCGCGTGAACAAAGGGGTCACGACTAGAGGATATCCGCTGCGACGACCGATGATGTAGAAGCGGATAAAGGAGAGAAGTTTGTAGAGGAGATAGATTCCGGCCAGGATGGCCAGGGCGGTGCGCAGCCTCATCTCCGCCATTGCCGACCGGGCTGACGGCGTTAGGAAGCTGCAGGGGAAAGGAGAATGCAAATAGTGAGACACAACGGTGGTTCCGGAAAGGGTCAGCGACAATGACAGCTGAGCTACTTATATGTGCATGAATCAGAGGCGGTCAAATTAACTCAAAGGAAAGCGTGTCAGCACTAAGCTTGACTGGTGGGAATCCTGGTGTGGTTCCTGCTATGGGATGGGTCAGATCTTAGTACCTGATGGGTATTTTCTTTGTCCAGATCACGACTATCTTCCCAGGAGAGCCCAATTACTGGCTTACTATGTATACAGGATCAGGGTTGCAATAGTTGGAGCAGCGGTGGGTTGGCCAATCGAAAGATGCGCATTATTAGTATCAGGGCTGGTTCCGCGATCGGGTTATCCACCTCGACCAGTCGTACTTACTCTCTCTCACATAGTACTACCCATCGATCATCCATCAATCCTTCATCAACAAGAAGACTGGTTTAATTTGACGAGAGATCCCTCAATCTCGACTACTAGTACTCAGTAGTAGTATTTCGATTCCACGATGACAGCTGAAATCTGCTGTGATTGGCCATCTTTAGTGGCGGCACCAGCACTGCCTTCCTTCCTCCATCACCACAGCCTTGCGTGTCTTCCTGGCTCACCATCTTCATCCATCCTTCTCTAAACCCACCACAGCCTGTTCATCCCTGCTGAAGTGGTCTATGTATCGTCACTCTTCTCGCAGCTCGGGTCCATGATGGCGACCGCTCTCACCAAAGCTGCGAGACTGAAACCCGAAGTTCGTCTGGGACAGGCTATCTCCGAATTTCAAGCCGACTGCTCATCACGGGAGAAGGCCACCCTGCGATCATACCAGGCAGCTGGAATTCCACCAAGTATCCGTGATGTGATGCAGTTGACTGCGGAGATTAATCGATCGGCTGGCCTTCAAGGACGATGTTTCGGGTCGCGGCTAACAAACATTCTTCAGGCGGTGCAGGAGTTTGCTGCACTTGGGGACATCGTCCTGGGCGCCTCGCAGAGCCTCCTGGCCTGTGGCATCTGGGCTTTGGTACGCCTGTCACTTCTTGTAGGTCTTCAACACCACATACGTTGGTCGGGGGAAGCCTCTGATGTCCTTTCCAGTCCATCGTCAAGTACTCGACCTATTTTGAACAGCTATCCGACATGCTCATGGCCGTGGGCCGCTCTGCACCTCGTTACCAACTGATGGGTGCTGTCTATCCCAAATCCCAACGGCTTGGAACATCAATGCTGGAATACTTCATCACCGTTGTGCAGCTATGTCATCATGTCATGAAGCTGAGCCGGAAGACAGCCTTCGGCCAGTGGGCTTCTACTTTGACGGCTTCTCTGAAAGGCTACCAATCCGACCTTGAACTCTGGGCCACCGCCATCAAAGAAGAAGTGAACTTACTTATGGTACAGCAATTATCCCTAGAAGCTGAGGATAATTCATGGTTCAGGTCTCAGATCACTAAACGCTTCGAATCTCAATCGTACGCAAGAAAGCTGAGGGTGCGCCAGCGGGTAATGGATGCTTGTTCTACGTATGACTATGAACAGGACTGGAAGCGGATCCGCAAGCTTGGTACTACGACTATTCTGGAGACCTCGGCTGTGTACAAGCACTGCAAAGCCCCACAAGATCCACAAGGGCTACGATCGCGTACACTCGTGTGCATAGGCAAGCTAGGATCGGGAAAGTCCGTCGTTCTGGCGAATATGGTGGATGACCTCAATTTGGATGTACGAAGGAAGGCAGTAGTGGCGTACTTTTTCTGCCAGCATGATTCGACGCAAAGTCTGGCTCCCAAAACAGTAATAGGGTCCTTAGCGCGACAACTGTTGCAATCGGCAAATGACTTCGATGCTGCACGCGATTTTCTCAGAGACAAGCGTTCTCTTGAGGTTGACGATATTGTGACTTTGCTAAAGCATCTACTGCCGACGCAGTTCGAGGCCTTTTTCGTCCTTGATGGCTTGATGCACTGCGATGCGGAAGCGCGACAAGTCATTCTGACATCTTTACTGGAGATCCAGGAATTTATCAAGCTGTCACTGTGTGTGTCTGTTAGGCCAGAGCCCGCTGGCTCTTTACAGGAACTAAATCAGCTTCCGAACCGGCAGTTTCTCTCCGTGGAAGATAACAAATCCGACATCGACGCTTTCATTAACACCGAGTTGGAGAGATGTCTTAAAGCCGAAAAGCTTGTAATAAACGACCCTGCCCTTATTCTCGAGATCCGGGATAGCCTTTCTCAAGGAGCCCAGGGAATGTTTCTGTGGGCGTCTCTGCAGATAGAAGCCCTGTGTCTGGAGAGAACAGACGCTGATGTGCGAGATGCCATTGCAAATCTGCCTAAAGATCTGTCGGCATTATACACCACGATATTGAGAAAATCAAGCGTCTCCGGTGCCACGTATCAATCCAAGATTCTGGATTTGGTTGCGATCGCATGCAGGCCACTGACCACAGAGGAAATGACAGAAGCCCTTGGTGTCATTCCTTGGAAGACATCTTGGGACCCCGCGAGGAGATTGAATGACATGCATGCAACATTAAGCTGCTGTGGGAGCCTGCTTACTGTGGATGAAGAAAGTTCGAGTATTCGAGTAGTGCATCATAGTGTGAAAACATATTTATTCGACCAAACCGGAGGAGGTCTTGATGCGAATCGTGCAAATCAAACCATGGCAGAGATTATCGTCACCTACCTGAATTATGATGTGTTCTCTAGGCAGTTGTCGACAGTGAAGGCACCTAAAGTTAGCTCCAGCTCGGTGACAGCAGCGGTGGTCAGCTCGACGGTTCCCGCTCGTCGCCAATCCCAGAGCTTTGCATTGAAGCTGCTGAGATTGAGGAAGAGCAATGATAAGGATGTTGGATATAGTCTAATGCAATACCTGAAAGCCTCCAGGGCAACTGACAGTGTGCCTTGGGCCCTCTACCAATATGCAGTGGAATGGTGGCAGGAGCATATTTGGTGTCTTGACCCCGATACGCCAAATCTACACAAGCTACTGATAAACCTATTGGAGGCGCATGGCTATGACAAACCGGACTCATTTGGCCAGACGCCCCTATCCCATGCCTGCCAGTGGGGCAGTCTGGGTCTTGTTGACTGGCTCCTCGTCCATGGTGCTCTCCATACTGACGATCTTTCCGGACATTCCCCGCTCTTCTGGGCCATCAATGGGAGACATATCGCTGTTGTTGAGTCCCTGTTGCAGAGTGCTGTTGTGCATCCTAATGTGGTAGGTCCGTCAAGAAAGTCACCTCTCACATCTGCAATACTCATGAGAGATGTCGAAATGACCAAATGCTTTCTTGGCTGTGACCGGGTAGATCGGAACCAAAGGGATCCCGACGGCTATACCCCCCTAATAGCCGCTACGCTCCTCAATTTTGTGCAAGCGATCCCAATGTTTCTGTCGGGCCCGCACACCGATATCTTTGCCGTGGCTCCATCTGGAGACTCGGCCTTTCATATTGCTGCCGCTAATCAGAGCCATACGAAGGTTTTCAATCTTCTTTTCGAACAAGCGCGGCTAGAGGAGAAGGGCTCTCAATCAGTGTTGACCGCCAACACAAAAGGAAAGACGCCATTATGGCTAGCAGCCGCAAATGGGAACCTCGAAGTTATTCAGTCAGTTTGCCAGTACCAGAACATTAACCTGGACGTGCCCAATCCTCGTGGGAAAACGCCCTTCTGGGTTGCGGCCTGGAAAGGCTACATAGGAATCGTCATTTGCCTTGCGAACACGAGTCGTGTGGATATAAACCATCTAGACAAAGCTGGCCTTTCTGCACTATGGGCAGCGGTGTTCAACGACCACGAAGACGTAGTTCAAGCCATGATTACTATGAAGGGTCTCGACCCGGACCGCAGCGGAGTTGGAGCGGGCACCCCGCTGGAAACAGCCATCCTTATGGGCAAGGTTAGTATGGTCAGGCTACTGGCTGGGCTCGATAAAACAGACATCAATCGGCAAGCCCAGGATGACATGACGCCCTTGCAGCTAGCAGCCCACGAAGGATGCGAGGAGATTGTGGCAATGCTCGTCTCTAACCGTCGGATAATCCATAATCGGAGGGGACATCACGGCGTAACACCACTGTGGACAGCTGCGAGCCGTGGCCACAGTGGCATTGTCAGGGTCCTGGCTAATGCGAAAGGAATCGATCTGAACTTCCCACGCATGCATGGCGATACAGCGCTTGGGATAGCGGCATTTAAGGGACACGTGGAAGTAGTCCAGATCCTGATCTCCACCGGCCAAGTCGATCTCAACCGCAAGGATCAGAACGGCACAACGCCACTGTGGGCCGCTGCGGATAATGGTCATACTAAGATTGTTAACATCCTTGCAAGCACTGATGGGGTCGATGTGGAATGCCCCAACGCGACAGGTACTACGCCGCTCTGGAGAGCTGCATCGAAAGGCTACTATCACATTGTCCAGGCTCTGGTAAATACTGGCCGAGTGGATATCAATAGTGTGGATGTTGATGGTACAGCACCCCTGTCTGCGGCCATGGCAAAAGCATATGATGATATTGTAAGATTCTCGATCGACATCGGCGTGGATTTGAATGGCACATCCCCTGTATACAATTCTCACACAGAGCAGACACCTCTGTGGATTGCCTCCTGTAATGGGCGCACAAGCGTCGTGAAGATGCTGGTAGCTTGCCCTGGCATCCAGCTCAACCAGCGCGATAGAGAGGGGTATACTCCGCTAGGGATTGCGGCGAAGATGGGCCATGCGAGCATTGTGGCCATTTTGGCCAGTATTCCAGGGGTGGAACTGTTTCAAGTGGATAGAGACCGCCAAAGCGCCTTGGAGATTGCACGGCAGGCCGGCCATGAAGCTGTGGTCAATGTGCTCAAGTCACTAGATCACACATAAGTGTTGGGATAACGCTTGAGCCTGTTTGATCGGGTACCCTTGCTATATGGCTAATCTGCAAGACTGCAGATGGATCACCGTGACTGAATGTCGAGATGAACGTGGGCTAAGTCACGCCTTGATCGGAATTGGGAATGAGAAATCACTAGATATCGCTTTCCTGATGCAGCAGTGCAATAGTGGCCTAATTACTGGGTAATAATGCATAACAGGATTTATTAGGCCATCATAATAACCGATCTTCATGACTACTGTACACAATTGATCTCTTAGCCCTAGTCTATTGGGCAGCCGCTGGCGCCGGACTGCCCGAGCTAGGCGGTGACCGCACCCCAGCCTTGGGCGGAGGCGGTAGCGGCGTTCCCCTGCGGGACGGCGCAAAGTCCTGCTCCTTGCTCTTCTGCTCGCCCTCCGCAAAGTAGTCATCAAACGACACAGCCGCAGCTGACCCGGTATGACGCGTCTTATGCCGACGACCCGCAGACGAGTGACTAGCGGGTGACGCCGCCAGATTTCTCGGAGGTCCCGACAACGGCGGAGGAGAGGTCATATTCGCCGGGACGAGGAAATGCCCAGATGGCGGGGGTCCCTGACCCAGAGCTTCCACTACCGGCGCGGATGAGCCGTCATCCCGCGTCTCGAAGACGACCTCACCGGGTCCCTCGACTTCCTCGCCCAACCCAACCGGCAACCGGTGTAGTGCTCCGAAGCCCAATTCCGCACCGAGCGCTCCTTCCCCTCCCCAACCCCGTGTCGGCACCAGCTCGACCTCGCGCACCACGTCAAACTCGCTGTTGTATACCCATAGGACTAGTGTACGGTTCAAGTGGTCTTCGACGAGTTCCCCGAGTGCTGACTCCCCGCGTAATGTCCCGCTCGGAGTGCCGATGATGTAGTCGGAGTGTGGAAGGAGACCTGCGCGGTAGGCGGGGCTGAGTGGAGATGGAATCGACAGGACGTGCCAGATATTTTGGGTGGAGGAGAGGGGGGCCAGTTGGAGCGCCAGGCCCAGATCGGGGTTGGATGCGGGGACAGGGATGGAGACGGTGTGTGTTTTTTGGCCCTTCATGATGGTATTAGCATATCGTAAAGGAGGTTATTGGGTGTGTTTGTACCTTGGCACTCCAGACTTCAAAGGTCACGCTGGATCCGGCGCAGTTGCGCACTTCCGTAGCGAAGAGGTTGGGGTCTGGGTCCTCCTGATAAGGTAGTTAGTTCAGCCCACGCATAGAGACAGCTCTGTCTGAGGAGTCGTGTCGACTCACTATTAACCGCCCATTAATCCCGACAATGAAATCGAACCACGGCTCCAGAGGGAGCTCCGCATCCTTGTTGCGGAGGACCTGGAAGCCAAACGCGTTATCACTGGTGCTTTGGGCCCGCGCCTGTCGGGTAGGCTCGGCATCCAAGCCAATAAACCGATTCAGAGCCCCGAACATGTCTGCTGCGAAGGAGGGGGGTATATGTTTGTGGGGAGAGAGGATGGGAGCATTGGGCAGTGCGGAGGAAAGCCAGATGCGCAACGTGGAGAGCTGCCCGGAAGTGCAAACATTGCAAACACCGGTTATCGCTTATCGCAATGGCTGATATCGTCGCGATGCGATTGCGCTCCGCCTTCAGCTTCAGTCCTTGATCAACTTCCATTTATACTGCGATCATGGCTCGGGACCCTACCGTGGAGGTTCCTCCTCCAGAGGTACATCATTATAATGATCTTGGCGAGGTGCCGTGGGATATTCAGAAGTAATATCATCATCCCTCGTCCATACGCTGCGGAACCGAAATCGACTAACACTGCGGAACAGCTACTGGGCGCAACGCTACAAGATCTTCTCCAAGTATGATGAGGGAGTCTGGTTGACAGATGATGCCTGGTTTGGTGTAACACCTGAGCCAGTGGCAAAGTGCGTCTTCTCTTCTCCATCAATAGGAGCTAGGCAACTAACACATCAATGCAGCAAAATCGCAGAACATATGGCCCAGTCCGCCCCCGCAGGACGCAGCATCCTGGTAGATGCATTCGCCGGCGCGGGCGGCAACTCCATCGCTTTCGCGCTGTCCGGTAGATGGAAGCGCGTCTACGCTATCGAGAAGAATCCCGCTGTCCTGCAGTGCGCTAAACACAACGCCAAGATTTACGGCGTCGCGGACAAGATCACCTGGTTTGAGGGTGATTGTTTCGAAATTATCAAGAATCAGCTGAAGGATCTAGCACCGTATAGTGTCTTGTTTGCTAGTCCGCCATGGGGAGGTATGTGCCCATATTTTCTTTTCAACCTTATAGGCGTCTTGGGAGCCAGCTGATCTGTTATAGGCCCCGGGTATCGCTCTGACACGGTGTTCAACCTGAGTACTATGGAGCCGTACTCCCTCGCAAAACTATACAAAGAGTACTCCATGTTTACAGAACACATGGTTCTGTATCTTCCTCGGACATCGGACGTCAAGCAGATGGCCAAGGTTGTCAAGGAGGGTCAAAAGTCAGTGGTTATGCATTATTGCATGGAGGGTGCTAGCAAGGCGTTGTGTGTTTATTATGGTGGCTTTAATCTTGAATAATGATGCTCACATTGATATCCTTTTCTTTCTCTTCTTTTGCTCATACTTCTGTCCCATTCTATTCTTCTATCGGACAATCTTCCCAACATTGCTTGGGGTCCTCGGATGCCGTTAATTGTACAGTACCGTTCCCAGTATCTATGTCATGCCCCATTCTCTTTCCGATTTCGCCAGTTTGCTGGCTTTGGCTATGCTAATGCAGTACCATCTGTATGCTACATGCATCTCGGATCTCATGTCCCCAGGCTATGGGACAATGTATTCGTCCCCTGCAAACGCAGTCCCTCTTCCTCTGCTCCACTCTTATCACCACCCGAGCTGACACGTATGTTCCACTGCGCGTGGACTGCCATAACATGAAGTTCATGAAGTAGGAATTCAGCATGTTGTACGTATAGTCTCCGATGTTTCTCGTTGATATCGTCATCATTCAGAACCTCACCCAGCCGTTCTGCTGCCTTGTGCGTGTAAAGTTCCATGAGGTCCTGACTCCTCAACCACTGCCGAGCTGCTAGATGCACCAGACGATGCATGGCTATGCACTTATCACTTGGTCGGATAGTAATGAATGAATAGGCTTTTAGAAGCCCAAGGGCTTCAACCATCTTTCTTCTCGACACTGGTCGTGGAAGAAACGATTCCGGTATACTTTGCTGGCCGAGACAGGCCAATAGTGAGAGGTACTCGGAAGCAAGCGGATCGAGTCTCTCGATTTGACGAAACGAGGCAAACCAAGTCAGGACTATTGGATTGACGGAAGTCTCGTAGCGCCCATCGGCCTGAAAATCTTCACTCAGAAGCTCCACAACGTCTTCTTCCTGCTCATGGAGAAGCATCAGATAGTCATATACTCCTATCTCATTTTCGTTCATGTATGCCGCGGCTTGTGTAATAGCCTGTGGAAGGAAGGCTAATTGTTTGACGAGATAGGTCGCGGCGTCTTTATCTTCGACTAGGTCTTGTTGGATCAAGGACTTCTCCAGTAGTCCCACTCCGGCCGCTTCATCGAGATCTCCCACATGTATCACATCATGCGATGCAAGCTTCACGGCTAATTTCCGGTTGCGAGTAGTGAAGATAATACGACCGTGCCTGTTGGAAGGAAGGAGTTCCTTGAGAGGTGCAGTTGTACCGCTGCCGTTCATCCACATGTCCATGTCATCGGCGCCATCGAAGATCAATACCCACTCCTCGCCCGCCTGGCATAGGTATTCTTTGAGTCGATCCTTCACCTCTTCTGGCTTGATATACTGGATCCCCAGCTGTTGCGCAATGGCTATACAAGCTTGATCGATAGCTTCGTCACTGGTGCTTGGTATCCAGAATACTGAGCATTCAGCATCATGTTCGTGCATAAGATAGGCCAGCTCCAGCGCTAATTGCGTCTTACCGATGCCTCCTAATCCAGTAACAGCGAGTCGTCTTGGTCCTTCCGATGCTGTAAGTAAGCTCCATAAATGTTCGACCTCATCTGTGCGGCCCAAAAAGCGTGGATTTCGTGTAAACGGGACCATGAAGTGGTGAGTATTACTGGTGTCCAAAAGGCCTATGGAACGAGAAAGTCAGTAAGTACGAAGCACAACCAGGAGCTCCTCAGTTTACTCACTTTCCTGTGCCTGGGGTGTCCAGTGTTCTAGGAAAGCCTTTGCGGTCGAGGCAGCAGTCGCTGCAGCGTAGGCTTGCCATAACTTGCTTTTGTGACTATCCGCATAATCGCACACACCTTTGATTATGAGCGATGGCAGACATTCCCACACCCCTGCTCCCTCCATCTCGAAGCCAATGACCTTGTCTCTTTTGATGATATTATCACGGTGCTTGCCAGACTTCATTACTGTATTGGCGGAGGCGACTGGCCCAACATGAATAGAAACCTTGTTCGCTTCAGAAGGATTGCGAATACGCATTACAGTGCCCTTGCCACAGCCGAGAGAATAACAATCACTTTCCAATGCATCTTCGCAGATGTCATCTAGCGAGCTACCTTTCAAGCAGCAGCAATCTAGATCAGGGTCATGCTCGCGATGTTTGTGAAGATGAGAACTTTCAAAAAGGACATCATCAATGCCAGGGTGGTTCCACCTTTTCTCGGTGTGGTTGAGAACCTCAAGATAGTGTAACAACTGAGACTGAAGAGCAGCCCGAGCAGAGGGTGTTCCCAAGCGACCAAGTAGGGTTCGAATCTCGCGATTGGGCCTTCCAGGCCTGTCATGGACCGAGTGCTCTCCACCAAATTCGTATGTAACGAGACTGTCACTGACGACAACGTCACCGAGGAAGATATCCTGACTTTTCGAAGATTTCGGAGCGCCTCCGCATATACCAACAACCAGAGCAAGTTGAACGCCCGTGTAGCTTATTCTCAGGCTCAAGGCGACACTCGCCGCGCTAGTTTTGCCCATTCCGGGCATATAGCATAGCACGACATTGTGCTTGCCGACCCGTCCGTTAACATACCAATTTGCATCTCCCTGCTGCTTTCTATAGTGCTTGCAGAGTCGATCATACGTTTCGTCGAAAAGCGCTTCGACGGCGTTTGCCTCTAAGGGAAGAGCGCAAATGATCGCGATTATAAAATCGTCACGGCTTTGGGGGCGCATTTGGCCTCGGTGCTAACGATTAAGCAAGCCCACCCTATATCAAATACTCAAAGCATGATATTTTATTCTTAAGAAGCCGACAGTTATCCATTCTGATTGTTGGGGGTAGGAGACTGTGACCTGAGCCTCGTCGTTGCATCCGCCAACCACATGGCTGCAATACGCGCCGCAGCAGAGGGGTCCTCATGCATGATAGTTGCATCGCAATAGCCTCCCGTAAGCCAGTGGCTCCTCATTCAATAGACAATGTTGATCCTCTCTAGGAGTTAAATAATTAATCATTCACCCGCACGACCCGTGGGATGCCGCGCCTTCATCTCCCCTTCTCTTGCTCACCCAGTATCGTGAAGATCACAGGGCAGATAACAGATGTCGCAGTACCTACACAACATACTCATCAGCCTACCTAAATACAGATGAAGCAGACAAGACAGATGAAGCACCAGCGGTGACCGTATGGGCTATAGGGGAAAGACAGGAATACGTGTCCTGACTTCCAGTCTTCCATGGGTCGAGTCCCACGTAATTCGGTGGCTATTATATACCAAAGCATATCCCTATGAGGCATACACTCGTTCAAATGTGTGCACAGCTTATATTCTCTTTTAGGCTCATTTTCTAGGTGTCGAGCTTTCGCTTTGATGGGCTGCATATGAAATTCAGCAAACCTCCAGATTTTTTTACGTACGTCGGCTATTATAACACTCTATTTACGAATCCCGGAAAGGCCCTGACGCCGTATTCGTTCACTTACACGGTTGCTTGGGGAAGGGTAATGATTCGTACGAAAGGCCAAGGACGGGGGAATAAATAGTTGATCTCATACAGCTAGCCTCGCGGATAGCTGCAGTTGGCAGGATGCTCGACGGCGTTCGTTGCCAGCTGGCATGATGTACGGCCTGCTGTTGGGATAAGCCTTTTCGATAATTGGGTGTAACGCTTACTAGGTCCCCTCTTGTGACAGGAAAAAGCACCTCTAAGTCTCTTTTAATCCAAGTAACATGGCTTTTTGACTGCCCTGTGTTAATGCATGCTAGTGCAAAAGCCCGGTTTCCATAAGCGGTGATAGGGTATAGCAGTCAGGGTTCAATAAGTGCTACTGCAGGCTAATGCGCCAGGCTTAGAGCTGGTGCGGTCGCGTCTCTTTGTCTATTCCTTGTAGATTGTTTGATGACTGCCAACTAAGAGGGGTTTACCGCAGTATGAGAACCAATTAATTCTCTGAGATTATTTTGGAATTGTACTACGTTGAAGACTAGACGGAATGTCCTCTTACGACCTTCCGTAGCTGTCATGGCTTTGCTGGCCTGGTCAGCCTTGCGTGAGATGAGCAGTTAAATACCTCCATAAGCCCCGCACCCTCCTGTTAATTGTCAACAGCCCGACCTTCCCATTCTTATGACTCTCTTATTCGCGATCCCACATAATCATCGATTCCTAGACATTCATCATGTCTGACTCTTTCGATTATATCATCGTCGGTGGAGGTCTGACGGGCTGTGCACTGGCTGGTCGGTTGGCTGAGAAAGACGAGTCACTGAGGATCTTGATTGTTGAAGCCGGACCTAACGTGGTCGATCATCCTCTCACCAGCACTCCATTGGCATGCTTCGGTGCTCATCACTCGCCTCTAGACTGGGACTACACCACAGTGCCACAGAAACATCTTAACAATCGCGAATGCTACAACGCGGCCGGAAAGGCACTGGGTGGAGGCACGGCGATAAACTACGGGACCTGGACCCGCGGAAACGCTGCCGACTACAACCTCTGGGCAAAGCTTGTCGGGGACTCTAGCTGGAGCTACGAAGGTCTACTTCCTTACTTCAAGCGCGTCGAGACACACTACGATCCCAATGTTGATCAGGCTATTCACGGTACCAGCGGCCCCATCACCAATACTATTGTCGAGCTCACCAGCCCGGACCGGAAGTATCCCCTCAAAGAGCCTGTTCGCTCTGCATGGGAACGTCTCGGCGTCAAGTTCAACCCTGATGCCAACGCTGGAAGCCCGCTCGGCCTAGCTCACTTTGGAGAGAACTGGCGTGAAGGACAACGTCAGCTTGCCAGTGAGGCGTACGGATTGTCCGGGCGTCCAGGCATTACCATTGTTACCGATACTCTGGTCGCAAAGGTGGTTCTCAGAGACCAAGACGGTGAGCAGGTCGCGACAGGAGTTCAAGTCGTCGATGGACAAGAATACCATGCCACAAGAGAAGTGATTATCTCTGCTGGAGCGTACCGCACCCCGCAGGTTCTCATGCTCTCTGGAATCGGACCTGCAGAAGAGTTGGCGAAACACAACATCTTACAGCTTGTGGATGCCCCAGAAGTGGGTCGTAACTTCCATGATCACATGTGCTTCCCCCAATGGTGGAAACTGCGTCACCCTGAACAGGGGCTCTCTATGGGAACGCCCCTTTGGGATAGTCCAGCGTATGGCATGGGGGTACCTTATGATTGGAACGTGACGCTACAGACTCCTGCAGAGGAGTTGATCAAGGCGTTCAAAGCAGACGACGGGCAGAATCCACCCGAAGATCACCCATACTTTGAGGCGGGCTTTGCGCACACTGAGGTTCTGGTCATTTACGCACCGATGAGTCGCGCCGTAACTGGCTTTGAAACAGCCATGGATGGCACGCACATCAGCACGGCTGTCCTCTTGATGGCCCCTACAGCACGAGGCCAGATCACTCTGGCTAATGCAAATCCGGAAAGTGCACCCGTCATTGATCCCAACTATTGTTCCAAGGAAGTGGACCGAGCGATTTTCCGAGACGGAATCCGGAGAGTGGCCAAGCTCATCCTAAAAACGCCGGAGGGTCAAGATATGGTGGAGCATGAAGTACCCAGACCGGGCAGTGAACCCATCACACTCGAGTCCACCGATGAGGAAATCGACAGCAACATCAAGAGTGGTGCGATCACATTCTTTCACCCAGGTGGCTCGGCGTCCATGGGTAAGGTCGTGGACACTCAACTGCGAGTGAAGGTCGTGAAAGGACTGCGAGTTGCGGATGCTAGTGTGCTGCCTGTGCCTCTGGCGGCGCACTATCAGGCTATCCTTTATGCAGTGGCAGAAAAGGCGGCGGATCTACTATTGAACTAGCCTGTAGGACGTTTGCGGTCTTAGTCGAAAATTAACGAGAATGAATTTGTTGTCTTTCTCTCTCTATCCCATGCGACCCCTAGTTCATTGTAGAAGTAGTCATGGCTGACAAAGAGGCTATAATGATAGCAATTACCGGCGTTGCTCCAGCCACCAAGGTACGAAAGGCACGCTTACACTAAAATGATCTAGCTCTGAACTCCCTCGTTTCATGGACCGTTGTAAGAACAGATAAATCCCTCAAGTAGTTCCCTGGCGGAGAATATAGCGGAAGCGAACCGAATGACATTTCATGAGATACGAAGTGGGCCGACAGGTGCTCTCTGATCGGAATTGCTATCGGGATGCCGCTTCGGAAAGCCGGATTTAGATTCGGTTTCACTCCGGCAATAGCGCTTTGAAATCGGTTTGCCGTACATGCAAACAAACGCCTCATTTCGGTCTGCGGCACGTCCGAGGCGCGGAATTAGAGAACCACGATTATAATTCTTGGTTTAAGGATTAATCAGTCTATTACAAATCCGTATTCCAGGACCCCGTCCTTCCGGGTTGGCTGGTTATAACCAGAGTATCCACTTTGATATGGAGCTTCCCGCGTGGCGAGGCCCAAAGACCCTTGAATCCCGCTGTTTGATAATCATGACCGATCACTGACATTTGCTGAAGCGAAGAAACTCTGGCTGTGGCTAGGGCTTCAAGTGTCTAACGGCATTACAGTGGGTGGGTCAAGGTTCTAGCATTAGGATTTTTTGAGGGCTTTTTCTAGAAGTCTCTCTATAGGTGGTAGACATGTAGCCCTCCTCAATGCCTGTATAAAGAGACAGGGTTTGTCTCTGATCGTAAAGTTGTTCATCAAGTTGAATCATCGGGGAGACATTCAATAACTTCCAAACCCTCCTGCATCTATCACCAAGATGCTTCTTTCCTCACTTGCTCTCGCGGCCTTCTCGTTAGGCGCAGCCGCCAAAAGTCATACCGGCTCATCCCCTCACTATGATTTTGTCATCGTCGGCGGAGGCACCAGTGGTTTGGTTGTTGCAAACAGACTCTCAGAATTGAAGAATGTCACTGTTGCCGTCATTGAGGCTGGTGAATCAGCATTGAACAACTTCAATGTGTCTAATGTCATGGGCTACAGCACGGCATTCGGGACGGATGTCGACTGGGCCTACCAAACCGAGAACCAGACCTATGCGGGAGGCTTGCAGCAGACTATCCGTGCCGGAAAGGCACTTGGAGGTACAAGCACAATCAATGGTAAGTCATTCTTTCTTTTTCTTACAAACACATGGTAGATACTTTGGTATTGACTAAATCTCCTACAATAGGAATGTCCTATACTCGGGCCGAAGACGTACAAATTGACAATTGGGAAGTGCTCGGGAACGAGGGTTGGAACTGGAAGAACTTGTTTCAATATTATAAGAAATCGGAAGGCTTCCAGGTGCCTACTAAGGACCAGATCGCCCATGGTGCCAGCTACAATGCTAGCTATCACGGTTTGAACGGCCCTCTGAAGGTCGGCTGGCCTACTTCCATGACCAACAGCAGCGTCTTCCCAGTTCTCGAACAAACCTTTGAGAAACTCGGCGTTCAGTATAACCCCGATTCTGAAGGCGGCAAGATGGTCGGATTCACTGTCCACCCTGACACCCTGGACCGGGAGATGAACGTGCGCGAAGATGCTGCCAGGGCTTATTACTGGCCATATGAAGCCCGCTCGAACCTGAAGATCATCTCCAATACTCGTGCGAACAAGGTCATCTGGGCCAACTCCACCCAAGGAGAGGCTGTTGCCGTCGGCATTGAAGTTACTAACGCTTACGGCACGGAAACCATCTACGCTGACAAGGAGGTCATCCTGTCGGCAGGCGCGCTCAGATCCCCTGCCCTGCTCGAGCTGTCTGGTATCGGAAACCCCGACATCCTCAATAAGCACAACATCCCCGTTAAGGTCAACATCACCACGGTCGGCGAAAACCTACAAGATCAGACCAACAACGCCCTGTCCTGGGAAGGTGTTGACACCCTCACTGGATTGGCAACCTTCTCCGTCCTGCCGTCTGTGAACCAGCTCTACGGCGATAACGCCACTGCCTTGGCTTCCTACGTCAAATCCCAGCTTGCTAGCTATGCTAAGACCGTCGCTGACGCCTCGAACGGCGCTGTTAAGGAGGCTAACCTCGTGGAGGCCTTCGAGTACCAGTACGACCTGATTTTCAAGTCCCAGGTCCCCTATACGGAGATCGTCTTCGCTCCCAGTGGGCAATCCTTTGCCGTTGAGTACTGGCCTCTTCTTCCCTTCTCCCGCGGCAGCGTACACATCCAATCCGCGAACGCCTCTGACTATCCTGCCATCAATCCCAACTACTTCATGTTCAGCCAGGATGCCGAGGCTCAGATTACGGTGGCGCAATACATTCGGAAGGCTTTGGGAACTGCACCTCTCAACAGCCTTGTAGGAGAGGAAGTTACTCCTGGCCTCGACGTGCTTCCCGCTGATGCTTCCAGTGCCACTTGGACCAAGTGGGTTCAGCAAAACTGTAAGCCTTGATCATTCACCCGAAACGGAAATCTGCAGCATGGTCGCTAACTTACCTATTCATCGCAGACCGAACAAACTACCACCCCGTCGGCACCACCAGCATGCTTCCCCGCGAGAAGGGTGGCGTTGTCAGTCCCGAGTTGAAGGTTTATGGTACCAAGAATCTTCGTGTGGTCGATGCATCAGTCCTGCCATTCCAGCTCTGCGGCCATTTGACCAGCACTCTGTATGCTGTCGCTGAGAGGGCTTCCGATCTCATTAAGGAAAGTTACTAGCTTACAGATGATAAGCAGTGTGCCAGTTAGAAATTTCAGTCACAACAACAAACAGATATAGACGAGATATTAGCACCAGTCCACAAACTGCAATCGGAAGATTCTTCTATCCTTGAGCGACTTTCAGTCCGGGAAACGGTCTGGGATGGGAAGATGATCCGACCCAGGCGGCTAAGTTAAAAGAATGTAGTGAACTAGCAACTACAGCTGAAGGGTGTCAAAGGATTAAATATCAATGCCTCCTGCGGCACATTCATAGAGAAATACTACAAGTCTGGTCTTCTGATAGTGATGTGTATTTATAGCGTAACCAGAAAGCGGCAATAAGGCCTGTAAAAATGCATATCATTAGATGCCTTCGGTGGCTAAGGACTAGGACCACTATTACAGATGTTTATGTTTCGTTGTATGTTTTCTCCTCAGTCTCTCTTTTCTGTTCTCTCCTTTACTATATCCAATCGTCTATTCAGTCGTACTTATACGCGACCTCCCACCACAACCGTTCACAGCTACCGCCAGATTGCTTTCTTTTCCAGTCTTGTGGTACATTGAGTAAAAAGCTCAACCATCATCATGGACTGGTCCTAGTATTGAAGATGGGAAAGCATTGGAATTTGAATATTTCGAAATATGGCTTCAGATAGATCGCAGGGAACTGTAGAAGCTAGTCAGATACGAAATACCAGCATCAGTTCTCTGATTGTAGGCCCAATGTGCTGCATCTCAGCCAGCCAAATTCTCTGAGAAATGTGTATATGATCATCCCCCTATCCACGAGAGTATTCAATGACTCAGCCCTGCATTCTCATCTACATAGAACCATGGCTCGGCTATCCTTATACTACAGAGTAATGCTGTAAACTTGTATTTGGATGTTAGGGCACTCAACCTTTGCTTATTTTCGTAGTCGGCTCTCTCTTTCCCAACTTCTACCTAAATAGTGTCTTCGGATTCCTTCATTCATCTGAGCTTTGATAAATGCATGATGTGAGTTACAACCTAATTGGCAGAGTATACTACTTCTACACACAGTAGTAATGGCTCGGAGTTAAGTAACATGCTTTCATTTTATTACAGCTTCCTCCCCTGCTACAAGTACAACTTCTAGTACCATTAGCATATCAATCGAAAGGTTATCGGGCACTACAGCGAGAAAGATAATGACATTGAAATTACTAGCTCAAAGCTACATATATTTGCAACGTGCAAAGTATATTTTAACCCTTCAATGGGTTTAGTTTGGTGAATCAATAGATGATAGGCCAATTAATGTCAAACGTGAAACGTAAAGAGACTTTGATCCAAGTTCTGTTTACTGACAGATTTGTGCGTAGTAGCAGGACTCCAGATTGAGGGAAGTAGAGGGCGAGAATCATTGATGTTGTCGAGGGCTGTCTCGAACCGCAGATCGCACTAACCGAATCCAGCTAGTGCACCTCGTGACACGAACCGTTCTCAAAACAGCCGGAGTGTTGCGTGACTGGTCTTAGCAGCCAGCCGGAATCTCCGACGGGAGCGAAGGAGAGACAGCATTATTGCTTGTCCGAGTCTCGGCCAGTCGAGGTTGAGCTCATCGAGCTATCCTTTTCATCGCCTTTAACCCGTCCAGGTCTCTGGTAGACAGGGTCGTCTCGATGCCATCTCACAAGCGCGCCCTTTCTATCTCACCTCACATTCACCACTCGATGCCCCGCGTCTTCACCACCTTGTCTCCCGGGCGCTGATATCTACTCTCTTTCCCAGCTATCTCTCACCTCATCATCCTCCATCTCAGAATTCATCATCAAAATGCCTCACGCAACCGAGCCCCCCGCGCCCGACGCGGAGGATACCGCCTTCGAGAATGTGATGCGACAGATGAACGGTCCCTTCGGGGAAGGCGACATGTCGTTCGATTTCCTCTCCCGCGACTTGGAACCCGGCGAAAAGGCAGACGACGCGGTGGACTACGAAGATTTCGATGACGACGAGCTACCCGAAGAAGAAGAGCGAACCGGACCGCCCGCCGAAAATGGACTCGGGGAACAAGAAGACGACGCAGATAAAGGCTTGTTTGAAGCGGAGGAGGATGATCTCTTCGGTGGCCAGGAGGACGAAAATCAACAACCACCGCGCGATGAACTGGACGACCTATTCGGCGATGGCCCCTCTTCTCCCCCAGCGGAACATGCCGACGCAACACGAGATTTGTTCTTCGAGGAGGAAGGTGAGAGTGCGAAGCCAGCAGAGGCTCCGGAGCCTGTCGAATCCGCGCCCGCGCAGCCCGAACCCGTGCCGATGGACGAAGACGAGGACGAACCTATGCAGGAAGATGAGGCCTTGAGTCCGACAGCGGAGGATATGGACCCGGCTTCTCTTCGCGCCTGGAAGCTCCAACAGGCTCTGTTTGCTATGTCGTCTTATGGTCCGGAAAACGTGCCTGCGCCGCCAGAGAATGTCGAGGAGCTGTTGCAGTCGCTGTTCCCAATGTTCGACAAGAATGCTCTTCCGCGTTTCCTTGAGCTGATCCCCCACAAGAAGGCCTTCTTTGTCGGAAAGCAGCCTCTGAAGCCCCCGAAGCCGGTCATCCCTAACAAGGTGAATATCGAATTGGCTCATGACCAAGAGCGATCGTTCAAGTCTGGAGGCCAGTCGCTCAAACGTTCGCTGGAGTCGGAGCATTCCGGCGTGGTTCCCGTCTTGGAGGCGGCCCAGGAGGAGGAACAGGAGATCAAGGAAGAGTTTGATCAGGACACAGATACGGAGGAAGTGCTCCCTGGGGGTATAACCCATCATGACCTTCGTGTTGTCTGCGCGGACTGGGATGTGAGGGATGACTTCTCCATCATGGACGTTGAGGAGGCGGAGGTCAAAGAGGCCGATGTTGATATGGAAGACGACTGGCTTCTAGAAACCACTCGCCCCGCGAAGAAACGGAAAATTGGAAGAGATCCGCTTGAAATCGTCGCCTTGTCCCATATTGATGTACCAGTGATTGACGACCCGCAACAAGCCACTTCCCGCATTGCTCAAAAGGTGACCGTCGACATGAACGATCCTCATATTCTCCTTGACGAGCGAGGAGCGGAGGCTGCTGCGCAGAAGCCAAAGGCGCTGGGTGCTCTCAAGCGGGACGAGTTGGATGCCAGTGTCACCAAACGTCTGACCTCACGTTACAACATTTCGAACGATCAGGCATACGATATGCTGAAACAGAACCATCAGAACAAGGTTCGCAGTACCCTGGGCAACGTTACCTTGGAGCACAGTATGCCTGCCCTGCGTCTGCAATGGCCTTACTACAAGACCGAGCTGTCCAAGGCCGAAGCGCGTTCTTACCATCGCCCTGCTCTCTCTTTCCGGCCTGGACAGACCTGTTGGTTTAAAAACCCAGCTTATATCAAACGAAAGCACCAAAAGGGCAAGGACGTCAAGCAACTTTACGACTCTACAAAGTCGCTCTCTTTGGCTGACAACTCCAACGTTCTGCTGGTGGAATACTCCGAAGAGGTTCCACTCGTGCTGTCGAATTTCGGTATGTCAAATCGGATTATCAATTACTACCGGAGAAAGAGCATGGAAGACCCCACTCGCCCCAAGGCCGAAATTGGCGAAACCGCGGTTCTCCTCCCTCAGGATAAGAGCCCCTTCTCCATCTTCGGACACGTGGATCCTGGCGAGGTGACGCCGGCCATATCTAATTCTATGTATCGTGCCCCATTGTTCGTGCACGAAGCCAAGAAGACCGACTTCTTGATCGTGCGTAGCAGTACTGGCTCTGGTGGCAGCGATTATTACATCCGTAACATCGAGAACCTCTATGTTGCTGGTCAGCAGTTCCCGTCGGTAGACATTCCTGGTCCCCATTCACGAAAGGTCACAACGGTGGCCAAGAACCGGATGAAGATGCTGGTATACCGCCTGTTGAAAAAGAGCCCAGACCTTCGGCTCTCTATCAGCGATGTCACCGCACACATCCCAGGAACCAGCGATATGCAAAATCGACAAAAAGTCAAGGATTTCCTCCAGCACGACAAAGACTCCAAGTACTGGGTGCCGATGGAACCTGTGCCGGAGCAGGACGTGATTCGGTCATGGGTCCAGCCCGAGGACGTTTGTCTGCTTGAATCCATGCAGGTCGGTCAGCAACATCTGCATGACACTGGTTTTGGCAATGATGCTGAGAAAACCGGCAATGAAGGCGAGAAGAAGGAACGGGAAGACGAAGACAGAGATGGCGACGAGGAAGGGGAGAGCTTCGAGCAACAGATGGCACCTTGGAAGGCAACCCGCAATTTCCTCCTAGCATCGCAGGGCAAAGCAATGCTCAAGCTACACGGTGAAGGTGATCCTACGGGGCGCGGTGAAGGCTTCAGTTTCATCAAGACATCAATGAAGGGCGGCTTCAAGGCGGTTGGCGAGAGTGTGGAAGATAAGCTCGATGCCCAGCGGCTCAAAGAGCTGGGGGGCCACAGTTACAATGTTGCCCGGCAGCAAAAGTCATATGAAACGTCCATCCGACGCATCTGGGATTCCCAGAAGGCCAGTCTGTCTTCAACAGTCGAACATTCGGACGAAGAAAGCGACATTGACCGCGAGGAAGAGGAGGAGTTCGGCAAGCCGACCCCACGATCAGAGGCACCCACTCCTGCTCCTTTCCGCCGTGACGACGAGACGATGAGTCAATTCAGCAGGATGAGTATGCCCGCCGACCAAAAGGGCAAGGTTTTGCGCATTATGCGGACGCTCAGAGACGAAAAGGGTCAGCTCTACCAGAAGGAACAAATGATCTGGGATCCCCGGGTTATTCGCCACTACATCCAGCATCGGCACCGGGTGGAGGCACTGACCACCAAGTAAGCACACCTATCGACCTTTGACATTTATCAGACTAACTGACCTTCGTAGACTTGAGTCCCTTCAGCCAACGGGCGACAAGGAGATCGACGCTCGTAACAAGAAGCTGTACGTCCAAATCACACCAACAACTACTAACAACCTCCCCTACCCCCAATCCCCTC